ATTACCTGGCAGGGGGTGGAATGTTGAGGGGATAACCATGCTCAGCCTCGTTTTGTTTTAGTAGCCAGGTTAATATCATCTAGCTTAGACTGGGGTCATTAGGCCTGTGTTTTGAAGATGCTTTGGAGAGAATTCTGCTCTGAGTGATTGAGTGGAGATGGAGCTGGGAGCAGGAGAGGATTCTATTCTATTCACCTAATTGAAATGATCAAATTAAATAATAAACAAACGCCCCCTCTCTTGGCCCCTAGTTATAAAGAGTTCTGTTTAAGAAGAGAGAAAATAAGCTTTGGCGCATAGAAAATTACCTTCTTTAAAGGTTAAGTATTGCTTATGTGATGGCAGTTTTTGAAACTAATTTTTATTCTGAGAGCGTGGCCTCTATAAAAAGGAGGACCTGTATAAATGGGACTAGAGCTACCAGGCTAATGGCTCCTGTCCCAGCCTCTGACTCTGGCTCAGACAATAGTGAGCTTTTGTGGGAGTTCACCCCCTTCTCCGAGGCCTGGTTCCTCCTCCCATCTCACCTTGGCTCTTGTCCTTACTCTAGTAGCATGCCTTTGCTCTTCCAAGGAGTTCTGGCCACTTCTTTTCTAATTTGTTGGCATCCATTCTGGGCCATGGTGGTTGGGGGTGGGGGGAGAGCGGGTGTTTTTGGTTTTAAAGCCATGAGTCATTTTAGAGTATTTGGTACTCTTGCAGACTGACTTTCTCTTACTCGGATTTCCAGAGAGAAACACAATAATAACCTAAAAGTGCCTTTACCAAAGATTCAGATTGCAAACCTTGCACACGTTATTCAATTTGATCATAGTATCAATTTACTTTTCTCTTTCCTTTGTACTTTCCGACCTCCTCTGCCTTACTCGCGTGTCTGCCTTTTTCTTGTAGGCAGAAATGGAAACTAAAGCCTCCAGTTCTATAACACCTGGGGCAATGGCATTATTTGTACCTAGGACTGTAGAACCTGACTGAGTGATGGACTGCATTTGCAAATGAGCTCTTTTATTGCAAATCACTTATAGCAGGTGGTTGAGTGTTTAAATAAAAGTACGTATACCTCCCTGGCCAGTTTGGCTCAGTGGTTAGAGTGTCAGCCTGAGGTCCAGAAAGACCCAGATTCGGTTCCCGCTAAGGGCACGTACCTCGGTTGCAGTTTGTCCCTGGCCCTGGTTGGGTTGTGCAGGTGGTGGCCACTCGATGTGTCTCTTTCACATCGATGTCTCTCTCTCTCTCTCTCTCTCTCTCTCTCTCTCTACCCTCCCGCTCCGTCTGAACAAAAAATGAAAAAATGTCCTTGGATAAGGATTTTTAAAAAAAGTACTTATACCCATTTAAAAGTGTTTTATATATCGCTTCTCGGCCTTTTGGCTAAGATCAAGTGTAAAAGTGTTTTATAGTTTACACAGCATGTGTACACTCCTTACATCATTTGTTCTTGCAACAGAAACCACAGAATGTTAGCCCTGGAGGAGACTCTAAGAGTCCAGCCCACTTGGTTTTGCATCCCTGGGAATGCTTTTAGAAGGGCAGCACGGTGGTTTTTATTCCGTTGCTTTAACCTTATATGAATAAGTGTGTCAGTTCCTTTCCTGAGAGCAGATTTCTCTGGGGGAAGATGGAGAAGGTGGGAAGATAATGGAGGGAGAGCGGAAGGCAACGGAAATGGAAAGGCACTAAGGACAACACTTCCTCTGCTGTCCCCAGGTCCTTCCTCTAGCTATCCTGCTTCCACTTCAGTGGCTTCACCCAGTCCAGACTCCAGCAGTTATGAACTGGTGCCCATCAATCAGCATCCCCCCACATTATCCCTGTGGAAATGAACACTGAGTTTCTGGTTGGTGTGATCATGATTTCTCAGCCAGAATGGCACACATCCTGGGCTTGGGGACAGTAACCTTCTCCCTGGTTACCAGACCACTGTTCCCGTTGTTCCCCAGAGCAGTCATCATCACACTTGTTCAGAAGGACCAGTGAATAGAGTCCCTCTGTTGCTGCAGCCAGCAGGACCCGACAGGGCTTCCAGACAGGAAGGTCAGAGATGCTGTGGAAGCAGATGAAGGGAGGCTGTGCATGCAGCCATGCAGGTTGTAGCGTGCACAAGGGTGCCTGCCCCTGCATCCTTGAAATCCAGGACATGCTTTATTTGCCAAGTCATGTGCTCTGTTTTCTTCTGTTTGCACGGAGTCTTTGTCAACTTGCCAAGCCTTGCGTCTGCTGAACTTCACTCGCCAGAGAGGATGCCTTTTACAAATCTGCAAAAATCAACTTTGTGTGCCACGGTGGGCCTGCTAGGGCTGGAGCCTTGGGACCTTGGGAATGGCAGGCTTTATGGCCATTCCCGCTCCTCTCATACAGTGATTCTTTCAGTGATTCAGAGACTCCGATCGAACAAAAGTGAGAATCCTCATGGTTTTTCTTTTTCTCTTTTTCTTTTCTTTTCTTTTCTTTTCTTTTTCTTTTTCTCTTCTTTCTTTCTTGCTTTTCTCTTTCTTTCTTTTTCTTCCTCCTTCGCTCCCTCCCTTTCTTCCTTCCTTCCCTGCCCTTGCTTCCTTGCCTTTTTAGTTCTTTGATTCTGGGAAACGGTTGAACATAGCAGAAGGAAGAGGACACATTTTTAAAAAATATATGTCGTTTTTATTTATAAAGTGAGCCTCAGAAGGACTTGTTACACTTATTCCTCAAATCTTACCTCCCACCCTGGCCTCACCATGAGCACCTGGTGCTTCGCCCTTTGGTGGGAGCCTGTGGTCCACTGTCTGTCCTAGAGAGGTCCCATGGGTCCTGAGTCTGAGTCCACATTCCTGGGACTCACTTTCTTCTTTGTCCAGGCCTCTACACCCAGCTCTTTAACAAAGGAAAAACAAAGACACATTTCCCTCTCTCTTCTCTTTCTCCCATCTTCAGACTGTGCTGCTTGTCTGCTGACGGGGTGACTAATTCCTTTGTCATTCTCTTACCCCCCAGCCTGTCCGGCTGCTCTCATTGCCTCTGTGCAGAGAGGATGAAGCTATCACATTGTTTTTTTGCATGAGAATCATTTGCACTGTGTCAGTACAAGGCCCAGCAAGGCCCAGAAGGGGCAGAGGAAGATAGACCTGATAGAAGACAGGCAGCCTCCAACTCTCCCAGGAGCGGAAGACAAAAATACGCTTCCCCCCTTATGCTGATTCTTTAGTTGCAAAAGCGTTTGGCATATGCAGCTATTGGTGTCTTCGTACCCAGTTCTAAGCCGAGTTCCTCCTTCCCACTTCGTCTTCCTCCCCATATTTGTCCAGGGAATGTAAATATATTCATACTTCACTTCCCACTTTGCAATTTCCAACATCTAGAACTGTGTTCCATTTAGGAGGACAGTGAGTTCTTGAAATAAAACGGTAACTTGGCAGGCATCCAGAGAAAAGACTACACCAATCCCTGGACTTGGGTGAATGAGAATATTGAAAAGACAGGTTGGTTTGGCGTGCAAGTGAAGTTCCTTGTTTGGCTGGTGGCTCATTTACTCATTCATTCGTTATTTCATTCAGAATTTCTTCATGAGGTCTCGAGGGTTTAGAGGTCTCCCTCTCCTCAAGGTTTGGCTAAGATAATAAAGGATGCTATAAATATGTGAAAATGAGTGTCAGGAAGAAAGAGGGGGAATACATTTAAGAAGATCTATTTTTAAAGGTTATAAGTAATGAGAAGGGAAATTTCAGATGAATTTGGGAGAATTTTGAGAAAGGGGGAAATTAAGGGCAGCTGAGAAAGAAAATCCCGAGCAATTCCCTGTGTTCGGAAGACTCCACTGTGCTCTCCTATTTCAGATGGCCTACTTCTTTCTTCCGAAACTGACCGAGACCAGTGAATGGTAGCAAGCTACCTTCTCTAAGAAAAGGGCCCCCAAAGAGCACACACCCCAACACCAGCCTGAGAAGGGGGCCTTGGCATGCCAAATCAGAACAAAGGCCTAGATCTGAGCATCTTTCTGTTTTCTTCACAATGGGCAAGGGGAGGGGTGTGCTGGTTGGCAAGACTTCCTCTGAGCCTGTGGTCTGGGTTTCCTAGCTGGACTCTTTGTTGGCCAGGCCCTCCTGCACTCTCCCCAATCCCCCCAGCTCTGGTGTCCCTCCTCTGCCTGTCACCAGGATCCCAGGAAGAATCACTGGGGCCTAAAGCGTCTCCCATCACCCCTCTCACCCTTTCGTTTTATCCTTGCTCTGAAGGGAGCTCGGGGCCATGTGAAGGGAATGGCATTTCCAATAGGAGAAGTTCTTTGCAAATAAACAAAAAAGGAACGAGAGCCAGAGCCAGGCTAGAATAAAAGCCCCCGAAGCCTCTAAAGGGTCAGGGCACTTAGGAGCCTTGGGGTGGGGGGAGGGGTGGGACCAAAAGTTGTTGTGACTGAAGGGAAATGAGTCAAGGGAAGAAATGCCCTAATTTAATCCTTAAAGATGAAGGAGCCAGTGGGCCTGCCAGACCACAAAATAACACCCCGACCAACTAACCTACTTGAAGCTGCTAAAAGCAAAAGCTCTGGGAAAGGCACATGAAAGCCTGAATTTGGGGTCCAGGAAGATCTGAGTTTAATGACTAAAGCCAGATGCCTCTGCTCCTTTCTGCAAATCTGCACTTTGTCAGACCTGTCTATAAAGACGGTGACAGATATTCCAAAGGAGCGGTGGGGAGGGGGAGGGCCGGCCCGGAGGAGCCTTCTCTTTGCTGCACAAAGAGTCATCTGAAAATCAATGGAAAAATATCCTCGGGTGAAGATTAAAAAAAAAAAAAAATGATTAAGATGTAAAGTTGATGTTATACGTCTTTTACCACAATAAAAAGATATATACTTATTATACAAAGAAAAATAAAATCCCACATCATCCAGACATTTGTCATGGCATTTCCTGCCAAGGGAAATGATTCTGGAGGGCCCGGCCATGGTAAAATTGCAAGTTCTTGAACTCTGTTGTACCCTTTGACCTCTCACATCACACGATTGAGCTTTCCCCTCTGTTTTCCAGAACCTAAGGGACACTGAAGAAATGCTGGCTGAAATGAAGAGAGAGCTGCTGTGTATACTGCTGCTTTGTGGAGCAGTCTTCCCGCTGCCCGGGCAGGTGGGTGCACAGGTGCCGTGTGAGTGCCTCGCCCTCCGGGCTGTGGCCCTTCCAGGCACCCCCAGTGGAGAGGCAAAGGGACAAAGGGCCAGCAGAGCTGCCAAACACACATGTACACAATCCCCTCTGTATAGGATGCTTGGGATTCAGGCTTCTGGCAGCAGAACCCTAGGCACTTATTGTATCTCAAGGGAACATTTTGGTAATTTCACTCCCCTGCCTCTGAATACCTTCTTTGGAGCTTTTTTTTTTTTTTAAGACTGTGTTAGAATTAGTCCATAACGTATTTACAAAAGAATACAAGTGCTATGGGCCATAAAGCAGGCAAGCTGCCCTTGTGCTGTTTAGTATCTCACTGGGACGAAGCTGTACAAAACATATGCTTCCTGAAACTGTCCAGCAACAGAGGATGCCATAGAAGGCTAACTGAGCAATACCTGAGCAAAAAGAGTTTAGAGGAGTCAGGGACGGCTACATGGAGGAGATGGGGACTACAGCTCCACTGTTCAGTGTGGTAGCCACTGATGACTTGTGGCTATTTAAATTTAAAATTAATTAAAACTAAATAAAATACAAGATTCAGTTCAGTCACACTAGCCATATTTCAAGTGCTCAGTCACCACACGGACTGGTGGCTACATATTGAAAAGCACAGGTATTAAACATTTCCATCATTCAGAAAGTCCTTTTGGACAGCACCAGTCTAGAAGGGGAGGAAGAATTAGACAAGAAGGCAAGAAATGGACATTCTACACGGGGCCAGTTAACCTGAGGGGGGAACTCTCTGGGCAGGTGGCATCTTATTGGCAGGTTGATGGGTGGTCTTCTGGAGTGGCTACCTTTATTCTTAAGATTCCTAGCCTGTACTGATCCTTTCTCTACCCCTGGCTTCTCTGCAGGAAATCCACAGGCGATTCGGAAGAGGAGCCAGATCATACAGCGGTAAGATGAAGCTGAAATGGAGAGGGGTTGATGCAGGTAGGAGGCAGGTTATGCTCAGGGTATTTTAGACTCTGTCATGGGATTTATCTTCTGCCCAATCACCTGATAACGTAAGGTATATGAAGGTGAAGTATACAGGACAATTCTGCAAAGACGCCTGTGTCAAGCCCCCATCACTCACTCACCGTGCACCCAGGTAGCTGAAGCAAGTGAGCCAGGATCTGAGAAGACAGGGACAGGTAGGCCATCAGGGAGTCACACAGCTGATGGAAGCCTGCAAGCACAGTGGCCCTAAGCCCTGTCACATAGTTGAGAAAATGGGCCCTGGAGATTTAGTGACTGGCCCAAGTCTACGCTGCTGCCAGGTCGCAGCTGTCCTGGTCCTCCAGGGTCTTTCCTGGGCTGTGACCCCCATCCTGCTGGAGTCCACTCAGCATCTTTGTTAGTGAACACCCTGTGTCTTCAGTTCTTTCCGTTGGTAAAGCAGGAATAACTAGCCTGGGTCACCTCTCAGAAGTGGTATGGGGAGACTTTCTGTCCCTAAGACCATGTCTAGAGACAATTCCAGAAACCTGAGGAACATTCCCGTTAGGATTCCAAGAATGAAACTTGCTAACAGCCAGATGGATTGTCTTGACTCTGATTTGAAGAACTCTAGACCCGGCTTCAGGTCCAAAACTACCAAACTGGGGTCCTCAACTCTCCTCCTTCATGAGCTAGTTTCTTTGGGTCTGAAAGACTTTACAACACCCCTTTTAAAGTGGAAGTGCCCCCAGAGTGAGTCACACTTGACCTCTTACTGCCATGGCTGTTGGATTGCACAGCATTTCCGACACGGGTATCCTGGCCCCAGTGGACCTTCAAAAGAAGCAATAGTACTATTTACAATGAGCATAAGTTACTTTTTAATTAATGAGAAGTTAAAGATTTTTTTTTAGGTTGGCATTCTGGTTTGCAAACAGAGAAGGAAGGAAAGAATATTAATGGGTGTACTTCAACTATTTCCATATACTTTCATTATATTTTCAAAAGTACTAATGGAGGTAGCACATTTTCTGCACAGACCAAAATGCCAATTTTCTCTGTTTGGGGCCAGAAATGCATCATTTGAACGTGGTAATACTCAAGTGGACCAAAAACTCTAGTAGACAAGTATATACATGTGCATAGTTTTGATGAATTAAAATGAAAAAATAGACTATTACTTAATAAATGTATTTTGCTAGATAAATGTTTTCAAAATGAGGGCCCATCAGAGAAAAAACAATAAAAGGAGTCTTTGGAGACAGAATATTAGGTATGTGTTATCTCCCAGTGGAGAGCAAGAAAGGAATAAAGGATGATTATGTAGAAAGTGAGATAGGAATTTTCTCAGTAGGACCAGAGGTGGACCATCAGTTTTTAGTGAGTTGTACCCCAAGAGGTCAGCCTGTCTTTTGTTACAGTGACCTGCAGAGATGAAAAAACCCAGATGACATACCGGCAGCATGAGTCATGGCTACGCCCCATGCTCAGAAGCAACCGAGTAGAATACTGTCGGTGCAACAGCGGCCGGTCGCAGTGCCACTCTGTGCCCGTCAAAGGTAAGTATGGACCTCAAGCCGAGACTTTGAGCTTCAGCCTCCCATCTCATCACTGTCTCTATTGGTCCCTGACACGTTCAAATCTTCACATGAAGATTCCAGGCATGATCTGCCTTAGGCAAATGTGAAAGTGCTGAGCAAAAAAGGAGCAAAGCTGTGTGACCCCGGGCAGATGCCTTCACTTGCCAAGCCTCAGTTTCCTTTTCTGTAAAATGGGGAGAATAATAGCACATACTTCATGGTTTGCTGTGAGAATTAAATGAGTTAATTTTGTGAACTGCTTAGAATAGTGCCTGACATGTAGAGAGCACTCTTAATATTTTAACTCATATTATTCTTGGAGCTACTTTGAAAGTAATTAGGAATTTCCTTGTTTCTACTTGACAGGTTGCAATGAACCGAGGTGCTTCAATGGGGGAACATGTCGGCAGGCTGTATATTTCTCAGATTTTGTCTGTCAGTGCCCTGAAGGATTTAATGGAAAACTCTGTGAAATAGGTGAGTGGTAGGTGGATGGGTGTGAGAGAGAGACTGAAATCCAAACTGCCAAATCTACCTTGGTGACGGGCATGGGTGGGGAGTGAGGACAGGAACAGTCATCCAAGGGCTGGTTAGAAAACCAAAGTGCTGGACCCCTGGGTGTGAATCTGGAGGCTGGCTCTGCCACCAGTCAGCTGGGTGACCCTAGCCACCCACTCGCCTCTTAGGTTCCAGTAGCTTCAGCAGCCAGCCTGCCTCATTGGTTTGGGGTGATGCCAGTGAGACCCCTTTGAGAAACTAAATGAAAGGGGGGATTCACATGTGAGATACTGTGTTTCCTGCTTTCAATCAGATGCCAGTGCTACCTGCTACAAGGACCAAGGTGTCACCTACAGGGGCACGTGGAGCACAGCAGAAAGTGGGGCTGAGTGTATCAACTGGAACAGCAACGTTCTGGCTCGGAAATCCTACAATGGGCGGAGTCCAGATGCCGTCAAGCTGGGCCTCGGGAATCACAATTACTGCAGGTGAGGGGGCCATCTTCCCTACCAAGTAGTTTTTTCTCTGGTGAGAAGCTGCCACCACTAGGGAAAATACCTGCATTAGATTGATGGGAGTTCTCCAGGGGGAAAAAAAACCAATAGGGGATACACACACACACACACACACACATACACATATACACACAATGACTTATTTTAAAGAATTGACCCATATAATTGTGGAGGATAGCAAGTCTAAAATCTGTAGGCTGGCCAGCAAGCTGGAAACTCAGGAGTTGATACAGCAGTCTTGAGACAGAATCTCTTTTCAACTTTTGCTCTAAGGGCCCTCAACTGATTAGATGAGGCCCACCCACATTATAGAAGAAAACCTTCTTTACTTAAAGTCAACTAAATGTAGATGTTGACCATATCTACAAACTCTCTTCACAACAACACCTAGATTGGTATTTTATTAAAGAACTAGGCACAATAGCCTGGCCAAGTTGACACACAAAATTAACCATCACAGCCCTGGCCAGTTTGGCTCAGCAGTTAGAGCATCTGCCCATGGACCAAAGGGTCATGGGTTCCAGTCTCAGTCAAAGGCATGTACCTGGGTTGCAGGTTCGATCCCCCGCCCTGGTTGGGGTTGTGTGGGAGACAACCAATCCATGTATCTTTCTCACATTGCTGTGTCTCCTTTCTCTTTCTCTCCCCCTCCCTTCCACTCTATCTAAAAATCAATGGAAAAATGTCCTTGGGTAAGGATTAACCAAAAAACAAACAAAGAAACAAAACTGTCACACTCCACACCTTATCAATTTGGCACACATACATATCTCCTTAAACCGCAATCTCCAAATGAAGACAATTACTAAGTCATACTTCCACCTAACATGATACTACTATCCTGTGCCAACCAAAGCTCACTAACTCTTTCCCCAGAAGAGGATGAGAAGCTCCTCTTTTAATGCCCTCTGGCTTTCCCTGGCTGATTTTTCAGAAACCCAGACAAAGACGCAAAACCTTGGTGCTATATCTTCAAGGCCGGGAAGTACATCTCGGAGTCCTGCAGCACACCTGTCTGCTCCAAGGGTAAGTGCAGCCTCCCCACCTTCCTCTGCGGTGTCATGGGGAGAAAAGTCTAGGAGGACAGGCGGGTCCTTGCCCAGGCTTGGCCTCTAGCTATTGTTTGACCTTGAGCCGATCTCTTCACACCTCTTACCTCATCTACAGAGGAGAAGGTGGGGTTACATCAGTGGTTTCCAGTCCTTTTGAGAATGAATGGGGACGCTCCCTTTTTTCATTGATGGGGCTATTTCTCAGTCTCTCTCTCTCTCTCTCTCTCTCTCTCTCTCGACTTTTAATGTGAGAAAATTTCTCAGATTTAAAAAATACTGAGTTATCCCTGGCCGGTTGCTCAGTGGTTAGAGCATCGGCCTGTGGACCAACGAGTTGAGGGTTTGATTTCAGTCAAGAGTATGTACCTCTGTTGTGGTTCATCCCCGGCCCTGTTTGGGGTCGTTTGGGAGGCAACCAGTCGATGTGTCCTTCTCACGGCGATGTTTCTCTCTCTCCCTCCCTCCCTCCCACTCTATCTGAAGATAAATAGAAAAAAATTCTCAAGTGAGGATTAAAAAATAAATAAATAAAAATTAAAAATACTAAGTTACAAAAATTCAGCAGTGCATTCACAAATAATTGTTACTTATCACAATAGTATGAAAAACATATTTTAAAGTTCTAAATATATATATACAAAATAATGTGCATTCAGTCTACAAGAAATGCTGATACGCCTGTGAAGTCAAGAACTCTTCACAGTGATGCTAAACCATCCTCCCCAGGATCTGGTCTAAATTGGGACTCACTGGTCTCGATGCTCTTTAAGATCACTTCTAATTATACTATTTCTTATACTGGTATATTTTGTCCATTTCAAATGGGGAGACAAGAGGGTAAAATAGGGCAAACAGGTAGAATAGGCAGCGTTCTCTTTCCTTGCCAGTCCCAGCAAAGCCTTCAGAGCCCTGGCAGGCAAATCTGCACAATCAGGGCCTGCTGACATGCCCCTCCGTTGAAGTACCTCGGTTCACTGTCAAATATAAACAAGGAAACCCATAATTACTTTCAAGGCAGCTCCAGGAATAATTAGCACTAACTGAACACAGCACCCTTTCCTGCTGAAGCTGAATATACCTCAGAATCTCTTTCAACACAGCCATCTAGGAAGCTGTATCCAGTTGGTGGAAGTTGGCACACCAGAAGAAAGCCATTTGCCATCTCTGTGTGAAAGGGCTTGAAGAAGAAGAAAGAGGGGAGGCGGGATGCTGTCACACCTTCTCCCCGGCAGGCTGGCTGCCTTCCACGCCAGGCCAGCAGCTCCCTTGCAGTTCCTGTTGCAAACTCCACCTTGCCTGCTTTAGCGTTTTATTGGTTTCGTTTCAGTTTGAGATTTCTTCTGTTCTAGAAAAAAATGAAGACTGCTACTTTGGAAAAGGGTTAACATACCGTGGTACCCACAGCCTTACCACGTCTGGTGCCTCCTGCCTCCAGTGGAATTCCTTGATCCTTATAGGCAAGATTAACACGGCATGGAAGACCAACGCCCAGACACTGGGCCTGGGCAAACACAATTACTGCCGGTATGTAGCACAGGGTCCGAGGTGCTCAGGTCTGGGCAAAGGACAGGATTAGGAAATGGGGTGGGAGAAGACCCAGTGAGTGGGAGGAACCCATGGCTGTTATCTAGTCCAACCTATTCATTGACTAGAATAAAACCCATTATGAAAAGCAAAGTCCACCAGTTTTTCAACCCAAATCCCAAGTTAGAGGTCCTGTCCTGTAGCCATTTGGTCCTCATGTTCCACTCTCACATGGCACTGTTATTCCAATGAATTGCAAGTTCCCTCACAGCACAGCTCACAGTCCCTCCCAACAACCCTGTGAGGTGATAATGTCCTGTTGCTGAAATTAAAGTTGTTTTCCTAGGGTGGGTCTGTGACCGAGCCAAGTCCAGAACTCAGGATCCTCCTTCCCAGCTCAATGCTTTTGCCATTGGTCCGCTGAGCCCCCTTCCCCTCTTCCATGGCTTGGGATGTGATTGGAAATGTGATTTAAAACTTTAAACTCCCTTTATCATCTAGGAATCCAGATGGGGATGCCAAGCCGTGGTGCCATGTGCTGAAGGACCGCAAGCTGACGTGGGAATACTGTGACATTCCCCAATGCTGTAAGGGCTGGCCCCCAGCCACCTCCCTCTGCCCAGCTTCACTGCCCTGCTCCTCTTGACCATGTCCTCTGCCACGCCATTTCCTGTGTCTCCACAGACGTCTGGCTCAGACTGTGTAGCTGCCAGATTTTCAGGGAGATCCGGCCTCAGTGGGGAGAGGGCTTCCATGACTGAGCAAGGGTGGGGTGGTAACACTCTGGGCAGATACTCACTTCTCATGCACAGGACATTGTCTGAGAATAGATTGTTATTATTACTCAGTTCCTGTGAACACACAGATCAGCCAGAATGTTCTTCAAGAAACACAGGCTAACGGGGCAGGTAAGACACAAATTATCAGTTGGCTCACATCCGAGGTCGTGTGGAGTGAGTCCTCAGTGAGTGGTATCAGTAAGCTTGCTCAGAACCTAGTGGGCTTGGAGTGTTGGGAACAAAGCTTCGTGAGGAGGTGTATTGGGCCTTGAAGGATGGGTAAGGTTGAGTAGGTGGAAAAGAAAGGGGTAGACATTCCCCAGGAGGAATGTCTGAAGGTCAGTGTTGTGAGGGTTACAGATGGTGTATATACAGTGGTTGGCATGTGCTCCGTACTCAACAAATAAAACTGGTTTTTGTCACCATGGAGACTGTTGTATCACTCTGCCAACCTGTGCAAGTGCAGGAAGCCTGTGGAAACCTGGGGTTCCAAGAGAAGAACTGAAGATGGGTGCTCAAGGGCTTCACCTCGGGACCACAGATCTCATCTCCCTTCTCTGTCCTTTCCTTTCCCAGCCACCTGCGGCCTGAGACAGTACAAGCGTCCTGAGTTTCGCATTAAAGGAGGACTCTTCTCAGACATCACCTCTCATCCGTGGCAGGCTGCCATCTTTGTCCAGAACAGGAGGTCGCCAGGAGAGAGGTTCTTGTGTGGGGGAATACTGATCAGTTCCTGCTGGGTCCTGACTGCTGCCCACTGCCTCCAGGAGAGGTAGGGACTTGGAAGCCCAGTCGGTGTGCCTCCTCTCTGAGGCCTTGTGGCCAGGCGGGTTAGCAGAAACCTCACAGCAAGAAGATGTTTCTAAGTCTGTTTCTCCATTAGGTATCCTCTCCACCACCTTAGGGTGGTCTTGGGCAGAACATACCGGCTGATCGCTGGAGAGGAAGAGCAGCAATTTAAAGTGGAAAAATACATCCTCCATAAGGAATTTGATGGTGACACTTACAACAATGACATTGGTAAGCTGTCATTATTCTCCCTGCTCCAGTTTAAACTCCAGATCATGCAACACACACCCACACATGTGCACTCACACCCCTCTTCCAAACCCTCGCCCTCTCCTTCATCTTCCCCTAAAATCAGAAGCAGCTCTTCACACAGGGCTTCTCCCCCCCCCCCCCCCCCCCCAGCACTGCTGCGGCTGAAATCGGATTCGCTGCAATGTGCTGAGGAAAGTGCCTCTGTCCGCACCGTCTGTCTCCCCGAAGCTGACCTGCAGCTGCCCGACTGGACGGAATGTGAGCTGTCTGGCTACGGCAAGCATGAGGCGTGTAAGTGGAAGGAAGTCACTGACCCATCCTGTCTGTCTGTAGGACAGCAGGGATGCAGTTGTTGACCAGACAGAGGGAAAAATGGTCACAAGGGTGGTTCTAGCCCCAGGGGCAGGCCCTGAAGCTGTGTCAGTGAGGACAAGTTTCCTGTATAGTGAGAGCCCATCATCGGCCTCCCCTACCTCACAGGGTCATTGTGCAGGTCATGAATGGTCTAAATAGTACCACTGCTTTGAAGAAAGTTCTGGTAAGAGTGGAGACAGTAAGCAAGGGTGTGAATACTTGGATTACAGTCCCATAGACCTGGGTTCAAATCCTTGCTCTGCTCCTTGCCAGCAGTGTGACCCCGGCTTGGATTTTTATGTTACACTGCCCCAAGCCTCAGTTTCCTCACTGGTGAGATGGGAACAGGATTAGCTACCTCCTTAGGTTATGAGGATTAAAGGAGATATTTGGTTAGACCATTGGTTCTCACCTGGGGTGATTTTGTCCCCCAGGAGACATTTGGCCATGTCTGGTGGCATTTTTAATGGTTGCAACTCAGGATGGAGGTTTATCCTGGCATTTGGTGGGAGAAGCCAGGGGTGCTGCCAGACCTCTACATAAACAGGGCAGCCCCTCACACAAACCAGGTCTAGAATATCAGTAGTGCTGCTACTAGGAAACCCTGAGTTAAACTCTATTAAATTATTGTTTGTATAGGGCCAAACAATAAAATATTAGCAGTTTCACAGGGCTCAACCTAATATGTGTAAAACGCTTGATACATGTGAGCTATTATTAGAAAATGTGGCTTTCTCTTTCCAAAAGGTTGACAACTTTTCCTAAAACCATAAGATGTTTCCTTCTTCTCTTTCAGCTTCTCTTTCCTATTCTGAGCGGCTGAAGGAGGCGCATGTCAGGCTGTACCCGTCCAGCCGCTGCACGTCCCAGTATTTATCTAACAGAACCGTCACGAGCAATATGCTGTGTGCTGGAGACACGCGGAGTGGAGGGAACCAAGCAAACCTGCATGATGCTTGCCAGGTAAACATGAGTGTCTCTCCATACTCTGAGCCCACCCAAGGGTAAAAAAGGTTCTTAACCAAGGAATAAACCTCTAGCCAGAATAGAGTGATTTCATCTTGGTGAGGCACTGGGGATTCTACATGAGGGCATCTGAGCATGAAGCAACTGGAGAAAGATCAAAGTTACCCAAATTTAAGAAATCTGAACTGCAGGAAATTTCCCCAGTGTCTGCACAGGAAACTCCACCTGGTACAGGATTTCCTGTAAGCCCCAAGCAATTAATTCACTATGAAATGATGGATAAAACAACACAAATTAAGAAATTTTTCACTTCTGTAGGTGCCGGGGGATTGTTGTCTGCTTTGTAGTGGGGGAAGGAGGAATGGCAACCCACTGGGAAGGATAGAGATGATCTGTGAGAAATGAGGTTTAAAAACTCACACTCAGCCCTGGCAGGTTTGGCTCAGTGGTTAGAGTGTCAGCCTGAGGACCAAAGGGTCATGGGTTTGATTCCCCATCAAGGGCACATACCTGGGTTACAGGTTCGATCCCCCCTACCGGTGCCATGCAAGAGGCAGCCAATCAGTGTGTCTCTCTCACATCGATATTTCTCTCTCTCTCGCTCTCTCCTTCTCTCTCCCTTCTACTCTATCTAAAAAACAAACTAACAAAAAACTCACACTCAGCCCCAATAACCTGGGAAAGCAAACCGTTTCATGCTCTCTGTGTTGGCATCTTTGCCAGAGTTAGTACTTCTGTTTATGATAACAAGACACTAGCCTGTGGAACACAGACCAGCCTGTGATATTAAGACCTAAACGTAGCCAAGAATCTGCTATTGATAGACATGGTCATGCCTGCAGTGTGCCAGCTGTCCAATGAGTGCTGGGGTTAGAGAGGTGCAAAAAGAAGGTAGGCCAGGCTCTTGCACTGAAGACTTGGTGGACTTTCTTCTTATAAAGTCATCATAGCAGCCCCACCCCCTTGGTCCCTTGACAGCCTTTAGTCGCCTTTGGAATAGTTTCTTCAGAAATCCCCATTGTATCACCTAGCTCAACAGTTATATAAAGGTTGTATGCAAAGTGAAACCATGATTATTTGCAAGCTTCATGTTAAAAACAAAAACCAAAAATAATTTTGATTCAGTAAGACAATAACAGCTAACAATTACCAAGAGTTTTACTGAATGTCATACATTGTTCTCAAGAGCTTTTCAAGCTTTCTCCCAATTAATTCCTATAACAACCTCATCAAGTAGGTAGTATCATCTCTTATACAAATAAGGATACTGAAACATAGCCCAACGCCACACAGCTGTGTGCAGTTAAAACCAGGGCTGAGGCCTAAAATGTCTGAGCACGTATCTCGATTCTACTTTCCAATGTGGATACAGCCTAATTCTCTTGGAGGATCAAGATCATTGAGATAAAAATTTTCCTCTGTGAATTAAGTACTATGAAGAGTACAATAGTAACACCACAAATATTAACCCTAACTTCCCCCCAAAGAGTCTGCAATTTTTGCAAACAACTAACCTGTACTCTCTTTTGCAGGGTGACTCAGGAGGCCCCTTGGTGTGTATGAAGGACAACCACATGACTTTGGTTGGCATCATCAGTTGGGGTCTTGGCTGTGGGCAGAAAGACGTTCCAGGTGTATATACCAAAGTTACTAATTACCTAAACTGGATTCAAGACAATGCACGCCCATGACCAAGAACACCAGTTCCTTGAAATCATGCATACCTTGCCTTCCTACACTTCAGAAGACACACCAAACCAGAGTGCTTCTTTACACAGATTTCTCCTTGAGCCATCACACAGTACCAGTTGGGGGGAAATCAGTAGGAGTGGGGTGAGGATATATTTTAACGGGTACTTCCTACTTTGGAAGTTTTCAGGGGTTAAGGTCTGATTTCAGAATAGATTCTCTCATACAGAAAGACAGATAAATGCTAACCCCTCCCAGAATACCACCAGCTAGGGCAGATAAGAGGTGGGGAAAAAGCCTAACCTCCTAGTCTGACAACATGAGCAGCTTTGGAAACAGGATCACAAGGATAAAAGCATTTCTGTGTAGTGAAAAAAATAACTAGATCCTTCAAGAAAGAAGTATCGCATTAGAAATAGAGTGTGTCTATAGTTACAAGGAAGCCCAACAGGGACATGGGCCTCCTACTAAGGAATGGGCTAGCTGGCCAGATCATGTTACTCAAAACATCATTTAAATCAATATTTGGCTATCTCCTTTCTCCATTCTGTAGCTCTTGGAGGGAATTCCTTTTGTGTACAGTGTAAATGTTTTTTCTTTATAAACTTTATAATGGAAGAATTGTACCATTTTAATAACTGACAATCTAGGCTTTAGTATATTTATATCAATTCATTGTAGTGTTTACTTTCTGTTGCCACAATTCTGTATTATACTGTACTAAACTAATAAATTCAGATTTATTTTTCACATATTTTCCCAGAGTGGAATAGTTGTTATATACACAGTATCCCACAGCTGATTTATTCATGTTCACATTTTAAATATTTGCAATACTTCCTTTCATTCATTCAACAAATACAGAATACTTGCTGGACACAAGCCAATGGACTAGGGGCTATGGACAGTAAAAAGGGAACAAATAAGCTATTTTGAGAAATAACAAGGTAGAACAGAGATGAACTGCAAAATGGCAAAGGGAAACTTTTACTGGAATCTAGTTGCAGGAGGGATTAGGGAATCTTAAAAAATAGAATTAAGTAGGACTTTAAAAATTGGGTAAGATCCAAATCTTGACTTCCGGTCAAGATGGCGACCTAGGTAAACGCGGTATCACGTCCTCCCACAACCACATCAAAGTTACAACTAAACTATAGAACAACCATCATTCAAAACCGCCTGAAATCGAGCTGAATGGAAGTCCTACAACTACGGAATTAAAGTAGCAGCCACATCCAGACTGGTAGGAGGGGCGGAGGCTGACGGGCTGGTCCCACACCCACATGTGGCGGATAAAAATCAGGAGGACATCTTGGCTGGGAAGGTCCTTCCTGAGGACTGAGGGGTCCCCATCCCACACCAGGCACCCCGCTCAGTGTTGCAGTGCCAGGAAGAGAAGTCCCCATAAATTCTGGCTGGAAAAACCAGTGGGAACTGAGGCTCAGTGAGGCTGAGGCGGCTGGAGCCCCAGGCAGCTCCCTAAAGGGCCCGCGCACGGACTTATTGGACTCTCTCCCTCTAAGCTTGGAGGGGAGGCAGCTCGAGGGGCACCAGAGACATACAGGGAAGAACTGAGCTGTTTGGCACTGGAGCGAGGGCTGGAGAAGGGGCTTTCTCCAGGACAGATGTGCTGTCAGAGGCCTTTGTTCCTTTGGTGAGCCCTTCCCGGGGGCGGCAGACAGCTGCCATATTTGGGACTCCAGCAACCTGGCTCACACTGGTAGCCCCGCCCTGGTGATTCCTTGAGGCCCCGCCCCACCCAACTTTCAGGCCCACCCAAGCTGTTGCCAGTTGCTTAACCATAGGATTGGATCCTGCTTCAGGTTTTCCTAAATTCTTTCAAACAAGCAGCATCTGGTCTCAGCTAGCCCCATACCTCTTGTTAAGTAATACACAGAAACAAACCCAGGGAGGTAGCCAAAATGAGGAGACAAAGAAACAGGTCCCAAATGAAAACAGAAAAAATCTCCAAGAAAAAAACTAAGCAAAATGGAGATAAGCAACCTAACAGATGCTGAGTTCAAAATACTGCTTATAAGGATGCTCAATGAACTTAGTGAGAACCTCAGTCAACTTAGTGAGGGCCTCAAGAGCATAAAAAAGGACCAGTCAGAAATGAAGGATGCACAGTCAGAAATGAAGGAGGCATTAACTGAAATAAAGAATAATTTACACAGATTCAATAGTAGAGTAGGTAAAGCCAAGAAGCAAACCATCGATTTGGAATATAAGGAAGCAAAAAACACCCAATCAGAACAGCAAAAAGAAAGAATCCAAAAAAATAAGGAGAGTGTAAGGAGCCTCTGGGACAACTTCAAGCGTGCCAACATTCGCATCTTGGGGGTGCCAGAAGGAGAAGAGAGAGAACACGAAATCGAAAACCTATTTGAAACAATAATGGCAGAAAACTTCCCTAACTTGGTGAAGGAAACAGACATACAAGTCCAGGAAGCACAGAGAGTCCCAAACAAGATGAACCCCAAGAGGCCCACACCAAGACACATCATCATCAAAATGCAAAAGGTTCAAGACAAAGGGAGAATCTTAAAAGCAGCAAGAGAAAAGCAGTTAGTTACCTACAAGGGAGTTTCCATAAGATTGTCAGCTGATTTCTCAAAAGGAACTTTGCAGGCCAGAAGGGAGGGACAAGAAATATTCAGAGTGATGAAAAGCAAGAACCTACAACCAAGATTACTCTATCCTGCAAAGCAGCCATTTAGAATCGATGGTCATATAAAGACTTTCCCAGACAAGAAAAAGTTAAAGGAGTTCATCACCACCAAACCATTATTATATGAAATGTTGAAGGGTCTTCTTGAAGAAAACGATAAAAAATATGAACAGACAAAATGGCAATGAATACATATCTATTGACAATGGAATCTACAAACAAAATGAACAGGCAGAACAGAAACATTTTCATAGATACAGAGAACATTTTATTGGTTGCCAGATGGGAGGGGGGATTGGGGGAATGGGTGAAAAAGGTGAAGGAATTAAGAAGAAATTGGTTGCTAGACTAACAAACCTCAAAGAGAAGGGGGTTGAGGGGTGGGAAGAAATAAACCAAAGAACTTATATGCGTAACCAATGGACACAGACAACAGTGTGGGAAAAGGCGGGAGGGGGGCAGGAGTGGGGAGGAGGCGGTCAATGGGGGGAAAATGAGAAACATCTGTAATATATTCAACAATAAAGATTTTTAAAAAATAAATTCAAACAAACAAAAAATTGGGTAAGATTTGGACTGGTAGAGAAGTGTGGGAAAGGCATTCTTGAGGCAAGGAATATCAATGCATGAAACTATAAAGATCGTGGAAAAAGGCAGTGGAAGTATGGGGGAGGAACTGAGTAGTACAGTTTGAAGTGAAGTTCATAAAGAATGTATGGAGAGTGGGCCCTGGCTGGTGTGGCTCAGTTGGTTGGGAGTTGTACCATGCACCAGAAGGTAACGGTTTGATTCCCAGTAGGGATACATGCCTAGGTTTTGGGCTTGATCGTTGCGTTGATGTTTCTCTCCCTTTCTCTCTCTCTCTCTCTAAAAAAAAATATATATATATATATATATATATATATATATATAAAGAATGTAGTTTGGAATTTAGATTATGGGAACTTTAAATGCCAAAGTGAGTTTGGACTTAATTTTGTAGGCAACAGGGAGCCACTGAGGTCTTTGCTCAAGGAAAGTAATGGACTGAACATACCTCAGGCATATTAAGGATGTGGTGGTTAGAGAGAGAGCAGACAAGGGAGGTAGGGAGCCTCCTTGGACAGCAACCACAGAATCATCAAGGAGAAATGAAGGGATAAGAAGAACCTTAGCATGACCTGCTAACATAGCCACATCCCAATTGTTGGTTCAGACTAGAAGTTAGTATTGGGGTCATTTTTCCCCCATTCTATTTTGCTTTCCTGTTCAACAGAAAGAATTAACTCCCAGACCAGTCCACACAGGTTATATTACTTAAGGAATGCTGTTTCCTGCTTCTCTTAGGCCATCTCTTAACTACTCTTAAGATATAACCCATATACCTGGCTGCTGCCCAACAGTCATCACTGACACCCCAGATCCAGAAATAAATCCACTGATGCAATGCTTACTGTTGCGAATATGCTGACAGTTTCTTGGAGACAAAAAGGTAGTTGTAGTTACGACTGCTCAGTTTAAAGGCTTTTAGAAGGAAAAGTAGTTTCAACTTATGAAAGAAAGGCACTCTCTAAGGCCCAAGAGCTGAAGGGGGTGGGGTGGGGAGGTGGACAATTCCCCTGAAATGCTGAAGTCCCTGGACCAGTTAAATAAATGCAGGTCACAGATTTCCTGACTTCAGACTGGTCGCTTACACGTTTCCCTGTGCCCGTTAAAGGTTTTTATTTTAGATAGGTGTGCCTTTCAGCGATTTCAGAAAAAAACACGGCTAGAGGACACCAATGAACAAGACTCCCAGCTACTGAATCTCCTGCAGGGATGTAGCTGGTTCTGTCCCCTCCCCCTTGCATGAGAAGCTTTGCTTCAGATAGGCGGGTTAATGAGATGAACTGAAGCAGTCAGGCCTCCCGGGATGGAAATGCGAAGTTTAAAGGCCCCAGCATTCCTCTGAGTGAAGTCCTGGAAACCGCAGACTGGAGGAAGACAATTGCTCAGAAGAGGCCACTGACTGAGCAACAAGACAGAATTTCACAAAAACACAAAGAGAGCAACACATCATTAGCCAGTGCGGGTTAAGAAATTCAGGATAAAACGTTTAGAACTGGTCAGGGGAAGGAAATGAGCATACGAGGAGAATTAAATAGTATTATAATATAATATAATGTTCCCCTCACTGCTAATAGACTCAGAACAAGAAAGATTCTCAAGTAATTGTGCAATTAGTCTTAAAGGGTAAAGACTAGAGGAATTCAGATGAGTGCAACTGTTCTTCTATGGTCCCAATCTCAAAAAGTGTCAGAAACTTTTAGTTCCATGTTTAACTTCGAAAAGCAAAGATTCACACAATCCCCAGTACTTGGGATCTTGGGGAAAGTTTAAGAGTTTCATTTTCAATTCCCCTTTTAAAATTCAAAACAAAATATTAATCTCATTGCTGGCACTGAGTCACCACCTACTGGCCAGAGGAGAAAGTACAAGTATAAAATACACCTGGTCACAGGGAAAAGATATTAACAATGACTAAGATATTTACCATGGAATAGTAAATAGATATTAAACACTTGGGGTAAGTCAACAGAAATAAGTCTTAAAATCTTCATGGCCATGAGGGATTTACAGAAGGAAATTAGCACAGATACAGAATAACTACCAGTGTCTACACTTTACCAAAACTCCCAATGTCTCATCTTCCAAGAAATCTCTTCTACCAGTTAAGATGTCTGGGAACCTTGTTTCATGTCTAAATTAGTCAATGAAGAAGGTCAAGAAAATAAGGAGAGCACTAGAAGAGACATCAGCAGCTGTAATGGTTTTGTCTTTTACACACTGGGGAAACATAATTTGATTGATCTGGACCTTCGTTCTTACAACCTTAAACATGACATTAATACCAACATCCCTATCTTCCAGAGGTGACTACAGAATCAAACCATACATTAGGCTATAGGTCTGTTGGTTGAAAAGTACAATAGTAAGATCCTCCTGAATTATTTCTTCCTGCTTCTACTGAGGCACACGTGGCACAGAGCATCATCATTAGTCCTAACAACAAACACTTAGGACATAGAGGACTGGTAAAACAACTTTATTAAGACAAATAGAGAAGATACTTCTGCACATGTTAAACACAGGGAACTGAACAGCTTGACTGATCACCTGCACTGCTTATGCTAACACACTGAGTGGTAGCAATGCCGATCCGATCCCCCGGCTCCCGAGCTCTGCTACACAGGTGGTGTGATGGTTACTTCATATGCTGAGGCCTCAGGTCCCTAGATACCTTATTTCTCCTTAACTTCTTCCCTTGAGATTAGGATGAGCTGCTCCAGAGGAAATAAAATAGCTGGACGTATAAAACTAAACATATTCAGAGACCAAGACCAGTTGTTTTCTGTGAAACTTTAAAATCCTCCAGAACCCTTGAGAGAAGTAATTCTAAGTAGTCTGCAGGCAGAGATGTTCCCCCAGCCATGGCAGGTGTGCACAGAGGACAGTAATCACAAAAAATTCTGGAGCGACGGAATCTGAAACACATTGTATACTGCACAGTTTATCCCAGAGAAAAACCACAAAGTAACATTATTCTGCAGCAAAAACACATCCAGCAGGTAGGAAGTTAAAACTAGAAAAAGAACCACAAGAATTTTGGAAATAGGGCTTTCCAGAGAAAGATGGTAGGGTTTGGAGAGGATGGGTCTTCATTTTCCTCCATGCACAAAACTGAGCACAATATTACTACTTAAACTATGATTTTGAAAAATTTGTCTTTTACATAAATATTTAAATGGTTAACAGACACACTAAAATACAATAAAAAGTACCCGCTGGGCAAGCCTGAGGTGATCCTTCAGTTGCCATGTTTCTGAGACTGGTATACACATGATCAACATGGCCCATCTTCCTACAGCATTCGTTTTATTAAAAGATTTGGGGGGCTTTTTTTTTATGGCCTTAAAAATGGACTGGTAGATAGATATTGTTAATAAATATATTATAGACTACAAAACAAGACTGAGGAAATAACTTCACTGAGTAGCTTCAAGGGTGAACCACACCCTCAATGGTAAGCATTCTTTTTTCTCAGGGCTAGGGGTGGAAATGTTTCAGACAGGACAGCTCAGACTCCAGGACCAGTCCAGCACGGACAAGTGAAAACAGGGATCACTGGGTTACAGTTCCGGTGCACCTTCCTGAACATGGAGCTGGCCTCCTACACTCCCATACTGTGGCATACAGAATATGGCTGCCCTGGACTGGCTTTTCTGAAACTCTCCTCAGGTAACGAGAAAAAGCTGGTGATTTCTGTGACGTGAGTAGAATTGTTTTGGGTTAGGGAAAGAGGCATTTCTGGCAACCACCACCAGGAAAAGGGCAAGTCACCTTCTCACTGAAGACGACAGACCAAGTACTAAAGGCAAGCAGCTAGTGTCTGAGAACTGGTCAGAGAGTCATGGTCTTTAAGGGGAGATGTGCGTCTACTGGGGTTTTCCATATCAATAGTGGACTCGAATTTAAGAAGTTTCCAGTTCATTTCTAGAAGTACAAAATTTTTGTTAAATATATGAAAGAGGAATCAGAAAGAAACGAACTCAACTCTGTCCTAAGCCTCCTCCACGTGGGACTTGCTTTTCTTGCCACTTTCACTGCAGTGTCCTCACTTCCCTAACACTGTTCCCACGCTCCTCCCTCACGATCCGACCCCACTGGCCTTCGCTGCAGTAACGTTCGTTCTCTTCCAAACTCTCTTTTCTTTTTCCTATTTTTCTCTCTTCCTCTTTTTTTCATTTTCTTTTCTTCCTTCCCCCCTCCTCCCTCTTTCCCTTTCTCTTTCTTTCCTTCTACCTTAAAAAACAATAGCAAAAAAGTCTTTCATTGGCTTTACATAATTAAAGCCAAGCAAGTACAAATGCCAGTGTTTTCCTATGGTAACCACATTAAAAACAGTTAAATATGGTATCAAGTAACTCTGGCCTCCATCGCCCAGCTCTAAGAACTGAGCTGGGGCTGACCGTGTTTCAATTCTGCCCCAGCCTCCCTCGCGACCCTTTCTCCCCTTGAGTAGTTCCATGGCGCTGAAGGCTAAGGAAAAACGGGAGTGGGCGGGTCCAGAAGGGGACTGACCTAGGAGACAGGTTGATATTTTTTTACTTTTAGACAAGTAAGAAATGAAAAAGTGTTTGTGATGGTTCCCTCTGCCAAACTCCCTTCAGGTTCGAACTTGGAACTTTCCAGCTTTGGTCATGTATTTTATGCCCTTGAAGGGTTTGTACTTCTCTCCATACATATCCAGACGGTTTACTTTGAGTCCTGGAAGGAAGGAAAAATACGATATAAGCATGATTCAAAAGAAGCAGGTGGCATAACTGTTTAAATCCATTTCAATTCAAAGAGATAGTGGGATAGAGATAGCAGTAGCAATGAACCACAAAAAAGTAGTAGAATGAACCAAAAAAATAAAAATACTAGAAGACCAGTTCCTGAAGTAGAAAGGGCAGAAAGTTATATGCAGACTGAAATGAGGGTAAAGGAAAAATAAAAGCACTGGATGTTTTTCTCTAGTCATTGTACTAAATACATGAATTAATAATGATAACAAAATCAAGGAATTAATAATGAAATAAATTATCATTAAATGAATGTATTAATAATGGAAAATAATTAATGCTTCGTAAGTGTTCTCACTACACTAGGGAAAACAAATGTATATTATATAAAACTTTAAAGTTATTAAGTGTTTTAAGATGCCAGAGTTTATAATTTAAGTAAATTCTAATAACTTAAATTACACAAGGCCTATTGGTAAAGAAAAATAGGAACTTCATATAAAGTAAAATCATCTCCCCTCTCGCCCAGCCAGTGTGGCTCAGTGGTTGAGCGTCAACCAATGCACCAGGAGGAGGTCACCGGATTCCTGGTCAGGGCACATGCCTCGGTTGTGGGCCTGATCCTCAGCAGAGGGTGTGCAGGAAGTAGCCAATCGATGTTGATGTTTTTCTCTCATTAGTATTTCTATATTTCTCTCCCTCTCCCTTCCTCTCTAAAATATATTTTAAAAACATATTTTTTAAAACCTATCTTATAGAATCGTTCAACAGATTAAATAATAGATAAAAAGAGTTTAAAACAGTGCCTGACACACTAAGTGGTAACTATTATTATTATTACTATCATCCTAAGGTAGGTATAGCCTATAGTGAACCAATTTGGGTAGGCCCAAGGGTTCTAAATGATAACAAAAGCAAATGTAGCCCTGGCCGGTGTGGCTCAGTTGGTTGGAGTGTTGTCCCTTATACTGAAAAGTTGTAAGTTTGATTCCCAATCAGGGCACATACCTAGGCTGTGGGTTCAATCCCTGGTCGGGGCACATACGAAGGTAACCAATAGATGTTCTTTCTCACATTAATGTTTCTCTCTCTCTCTATCTCTCTCTCTCTCTCTCTCTCTCTCTCCCCCTCCCTCCCTTCCTCCCTTCCCCTTTCTAAAATCAGTAAGTATATCCTCAGGTGAGGATTTAAAGAAGGCAAATGTGAAAGTTTTCTGGAATTGAGGGAAATTATTCTTTTCAGTTACCCACTGAGAGTGTAGAGCATTCCCACACTGAGGACCAGGAGACCTCGAATTGACAGCAGTGGGATGGCTCAACAGCAGCCGGGAAACCTCTGGCTACCCTATTGTTGCTTTCTCATCTGTGTCTTCGACACTCTTATTCAGGTCACGTAAGCCAACTTCAAAGCAAGAATTATAAACTTTCCCCAGAAATGTGCTAGGAAAGATTTCACTAAAGATTATATTATCAGATAATAAAACCAAACTCAATAAGCAGAGAACCAAGGGAAGGCTTTGTAATGTCTGTGCCGTTTTTGTTCTCTTCAAAGCCGCCTAAGCTGTGGGGCACTTACCAGAAATGGCCAGCTGCTGGATCTTAAACTGCAGGTTAATTGTGGGGTTCTCATCTGGTTTGGAAGCTCCAGCCTGAAGACTCATGGTCCCCTTCAAACTTGGTAGCTTCTGGGGATTTATTTTTCCTACATCCCAAGACAGCATCTTCAAAGAAAAAAAAAAAGTTGCATTGGAACCATTCATGGGAGGTCATTGAGCTGTAACCTCAGGGCAGCTGTTAACAATGTTATAAGCTGCTTCTGGGATGTTTCTCAACAGAAACACTATTTCTTACCATAAATTATCTCAAGGAGAAAACAATGCCCCTGTGATTAATCGCCCCTTTCAACAAGCTATAAAGTCTATGTGGAGAGCTACCCCAGAGTTACTTGTATTTAATATCAGCAATTCGAAACCTCCTGCTTATTCTCCTACCTTCGTAACTGGGTCAAATGTGTGTGTTCCCTGAGACGGAGTGAGGCTCATATTCAGGACTCCTTTGGGCATCTGGCTGGTGACAATCACTCCCTCGACGGTCTTGCCCATAGTCTGCTTAGGTCCCACTGTTATTTCAAAGCGTCCAAGTGAACTACTGTCCCGGAAACTGATGTTATGTTTGACATACACTGGAATTGCCACTAGACTGGAAAAGGGACACACAAAAGCCCACTTCATTAATGTACTAGAAAAATGGCACACTTTCCTCCTTCTTTGCCCCGTTGGCAGCTTTTCCTCCCTTACCTACTTCCTTACTCCGTATCTTAAAAATTAAGCACAGGAAGAAAAACCCTAGCAATCTTTGATTTTTCTTTTTGTAAAGCTAAGATGCTGTCTAGTAAGTAAACTAACTCTTCTAATAACTCTGAATAATATCCACAAAATCAAAGAGTATACTAAGCCTACTATGAGAAAGGCATTATGAACAAAAACTAGGAGTCACCATATTTCTGTTTTATTGTGTGACATGTGACCAATAATTATTTGTACTTGGGAGAGTAATATTCATACATCATGGACAGTTTTGTGATTTTTTGAGAGAGCTTTTACTTGACCTTATTTGATCCTTACAAAAGGATCAAAAGTAGGGTAGGTTGTCACGATTTGACAGAAAAGGAAATAAAGAAGTCACAGAATAACAATTCTTAATATCTATTAAGCACTTCCTGAGTGCCAGTCACTATGCTAAATGCTTCATCCCTATTACCTCATTTAATCCTCAAAATAAGTATGAAGTAGTTACTGTTACTATCCTGATTTTTAGATGAATACTGATATGCTTAATCTCAGTTAAGTAACTTGCCCAAGGTCACATATCGTAAGTACTAAAGGCAAGGCTTAAGTCTAGGCAGTCTGATTCCAGAGCCTTTGCTCTCAAGCCCTCAGATATTTTTTTTTATTAATTTAATTTAATTTAATTTTATTTATTTATTTACTTTTTATAAAATTTTTATTTTTTTGTTACAGATATTTTACCTTTTGTACCCCATTGGCACCCCCCTCCCCACCCCCCTCAGATATTTTTATAAATTATTTATTCCAAATCTCAAAGAAAGGCACTGATGGCTCTCTTCAGCCTGCATACCTTCCACTATACACCTAGTGAAGGCTCCAAAAACCCTTAGACTCATGTTACAAAGAATGTTCAAGACCAAAAACCACTGCATTTTATAGTTTTCATTGTACAGTGTAATGCTTCTGTTGGGTTTGGGGAGATTGAACACAGGTGTACTCAGATTCCAATTTGAGGGGAAAAAATGTTCTTGTTTAGATATTTAATAATCACAACAAAAATAATAGCACCAGCCCCGGCCAGTTTGGCTCAGCGGTTAGAGCGTCAGCCTGCGGACTGGAGAGTCCTTAATTCGGTTCCCACTAAGGGCATGTACCTCGGTTGCAGTTCGTCCTGGCCCCGGTTGGTGTTGTGTGGGTGGCAACCAGTCGATGTGCCTCTCTCTCTTTTCCTCCCTCTCTCCCTCTTGCTCTATCTGAAGATAAATACAAAAAAAAATGTCCTCAGGTAAGGATTAAATAAATAAATAAATAATAGCAGCAGCCCAGCTGGTGTGGTTCAGTGGTTGGGTCGCCATGCACCAAGAGGTCGTGGGTTGGATTCCCAGTCAGGGCACATGCCCAGGTTGTGGGCCCGATCTCCAGTGAGGGGCACATAGGAGGTGGCCAATCCATGTTCTCTCTCATCGATGTTTCTATCTCTCTCTCCTTCTCCCTTCCTCTCTCTCTAAAAAAAAAATCAATAAAAAAAATACTTTAGGAAATAATAATAATAGCAGCAAACTTAATGAGCACTTACCTTGTAATAAGTGCTAGATTCTCTTATCTAATTCTCATAAAAAGGTAACTTTTATTATTTTCAACTTGAAGATAAGAAAACATAGAAAGTTTAAGCAACTCAGCTAAGCCTATCCAATTAGTAAGTATAGAAGCTCAAATTTGAACCCAGGTAACTCCAGAGCCAGAGTTCTTAGTCACTACAAATAAGGTTTACACACACACACACACAGTCTGTCTCTCTCTCTCTCTCTCTCTTCTTAATTATAAGGGTTGCTTACTTTTGGGCACTGACATGGTAAGAGAGCAGGCGAAAGTTTCCATCAGGAGGGATGAAGGAGAGGATACGCTCAGATTCCCAGCGCTTAAAACGAACACAAGGATGGAAGCTGACATCATCCAGCAACCTGGGGTTCTAGTTACCAGGCAAGGAAAGCAAGAGGTAGGAATTAAACACCCATATTTCTTTCAGGAGTAATTAGATGCTGTTTATATTAAAACACATACACACACAGATTCTGTAGTTACATATAGAAAATTCAGGCCTGACACAAGCTGTGTAGCTGTCCTTACTTATACATTGTTCCATTTCATTCTCAACACTCTGTCATTCTAAAAGCATCCAATTCCCCATCCCAAGGACTAAACCTGTGGTCCCGGCTTTTACCATGAAGGAAAGCGTAAGGTCTGGCATTCCAGTCAGTTTGACACAAGCATCAATCACCCCCTGGATCTCAGCGGTAATTGTGGAACCTGAGACAGAAACAAGTTAAAAAGAAGGTAAGAGATTACTGAACTCTTTTCTGTTCTTCCCAACTTATTTTCCTTCTTCCCTCTCTTCCTTCCTCTATCCCTCTCATTCTTTCTTCTTTCCTTCTGTCCACCCATCCAATTCATCTAACACCGTCCATCCTTGCCAATATTTATCAACTGCATATCAGATATGAGATACTTAGATAAATTAATGAGATAATAAGCCTTAAGGAGCTTTCAATCTAGTACCAGAATCAAACAGAATATCATTATCTTCACCAATGGTTCAGAAAATTTCATATCAGAAACCGCCCTCCCTAAGGCCACCAATGAGCTGTGCTGCTATACTGAAGGGACACTTTTGGTTTTTATCTCTCTGTAACATGTGTCACTGTTGACACCTTCCTCCTTTTCCAAATCCTCCCCCTCCTAGTTTTCTAGCTCCTCTTCCTCAGTGTCTTCTGCAGATTTCTTTCTTTCCACATCCTTTAAATATCTATGCTTTTTCACAGTTCTAAACTTCTCTTTCTTTCACTCAGCACTCTTCCCTTGGGTTTCTTTACCTACCATCCCAAGCTTCAATTTTCATTGATGGCCAATTATTTCCTAATCTTTTAGCCAGTTTAGTCAACTGGACAGCTCCACTTGGACGTCAAAGAGGTATTTCAAACTCTACATGTCAATGTGAGTTCATTATCTGGACCTGCCTCCTATTTTCCATATCTTCATGATGATACCATCTGTCCTGCTGTCTAAGCCAGAAAATCCTTGACCACTTCTAATTCTTCAGTGCCCACATCCAACCAATAGTCATTTCCTCTCTTATATGACTTCTATCTCTTAAATCTATTCATTCCTCTCCACTCTCACTACCATTGTGGACATCTGTATTTTGTGACTCCGAAACAGCCTCTTGTTTCCCTTCAGTCTTACCCCATGTCAAACAATTCTTTTTTTTTTTTTTTGGTACGTGCCCCTAGCGGGAACCGAACCCAAAAAAACTCTCTGGTCTGCAGGCCAATGCTCCAACCACTGAGCCAAACCGGCCAGGGCTCAAGCCATTCACTGCAGCTGGACTGATAGCTCTAAACTACAAATCTGTTCAAATTATTCCCCAACTTAAAACTTTTTAATTGCTCCAAATAATCCTCCTTAAAGTGGCACACAAGACTCTTCATGATCTAGTTGTTGTTTGGGGAGGAGGGGTTAATTTCTTTTTTTCCCACTCTATGAATATTTTTATTATTTTTAATTTAATTTAATTTTTTTCATCACCCTTTATCCCCTCTATGCCCTCTACCACCTCCACCCATCTTACTCCAACCCCACAATCACCACAGTTATCCATTCTTTATTGAGACAAATTTTACAGTAAAATGCAAAAATCTTAAATTATAGCTCAAAGAACTTTTAAATATGTACACACCTATGCAAATATCACCCATATCAAGATATGAAGCCTTTTTAGCATCCCAGTATGCTCCTCTTGTCTAACCTAGTTAATCTGAGTCCTTAAAATTCTGATTTCTATTACCTTAGATTAAGTTGCATCTGTTTTCAAAACTTCATATAAATGTATACAACCTTACACATCTAAGTTTCTTACTCAACACTGTGAAATTTATTCATTTGTTGGGTGTATCAGTGGTTCATTCTTTTTCATCACTGTATAGTATTCCATGACCATATCAAAATGTATTTATCCTTTCTATTGCTAATAGACATTTGGAATATTTCCAGTTTGAGACTAATATGAAAAGCTGCTATGCCTAGTTTTAAAACCTCATCACTTACTTTTCTTATTTTTGTACGCTCCTCAATCCAGCCATACTAAATTACTTTATTTCCCAACAATATTTTACTCATCTTAAAGTGTTTGCATATACTTTGCTCCAAAATCCATGAAGGTTTTTATAACTTCTACTCATTCCACCAATAAAGCATAAACACTATCACCTCTTTACACTTTGTTCTGAATGGGTGGGATACCTCTCCTATCCTCCACTCATGCCTAGTTGGAAAACTCCTGGGCTATATCTAATTCATATTAAATACCCACTATCCAGCATTGTGATACAATATAACAGGTTTTTCAATAAGCATTTGTTGAATAAATGAGTTCACTAATATAAACAGAACGTTCTACAAATTTCCAGGCTCTTGGACTTCTACTCATATTAATCAAATTCAGAATAGATAGAAACGAAGGCTTACTGAACTTTAGTAATTACAACTTTAGTTCTGCCATGAGAATTGAGAGTTAAATACTTTCAAAAGAAAGTCTAATCAACAAAAGATCCGTTTGTTGCTTCTCTTTTTTATTCAAAGTGATAAGATATAGCCTGTCAGAGAAAGAAAGACAAGTACCACATGATATCACTAATTTATGGAATATAATGAACAAAATAAACTGACAATCAAAATAGAACCAGAGACATGAAAGTAAAGAAAGAGTGACAAACCTTAAAGGGAAGGGAGGTGGGAGATGGAAAGAGACAAATCAAAGAACTTAGATGCATATATGCATAACCAATGGACACAGATAATTGTGTGGGAAAGGCAGGAGGGGGGTGGGAGCAGGGAGGAGGAAGTCAATGGGGGCAAAAAGGGGAGACATCTGTAATACTTTCAACAATAAAGATAAACAAGTAAATAAAAAATTTTAAATAATATATAAAACCAATAAAAGTGTGAGATAAGCATTAGTCTGCATCATCATATTTTTATTGCTTTTTGGGTTTATTAAAGTATAATTAACAAATAAAAATTGTTTATATTTAAGGTGTACAACTTGATGTTTTGATACACATACACATTGTAAAATGATCACCAAAATCAAGCTAATTAATATTTCCAGCCCTGGCCAGTTTGGCTCAGCGGTTAGAGCGTTGGCCTGCGGTCCGGAGAGACCCGGGTTCGGTTCCCACTAAGGGCATGTACCTCGGTTGCAGTTTGTCCCTGGCCCTGGTTGGTCATGCGAGTGGCAGCCACTCGATGTGTCCCTTTCACATCGATGTTTCTCTCTCTCTCTCTCTCTCTTCCTCTCTCTTCCTCCCACTCTATCTGTACAAAAAATGGAAAAATGTCCTCGGGTGAGGATAAAAAAAACAAACAAACATTTCCATCACCTCAGTTATTTTCTGTGTGTGTGTGTGTGTGTGTGTGTGTGTGTGTTGAGAACACTTAAGATCTACCCTCTCTGTAAATTTCAAGTATGCAATACATATGTGAGGTGAGGATGTTGTTAATTTAGCTAGACTGGGGAATCCTTTCACAATGTAATCATAGTCACTGTGCTGTACATTAAATCTCTAGAATTTACTCACCTTGCATAACTGGAACTTTGTACCCTTTGGCCAGCATCTCCTTACCCTCCCCCGCCCCTTCCTCCGAACCCCTGGTAATAACCACCATTCTACTCTCTGTTCCTATAAGTGAGATCATATAGTATTTGTCTTTCTATATCTGGCTTATTTCATTTAGTGTAATACCCTCTAAGTTCATCCATGTTGTTGAAAATGGCAGAAATTCCTTCTTTATTACAGCTGAATAATATTCCACTGTGTGTGTATATAATGTCCTCATATTTTCTTTACCCATTCATCCATCAACTGACATTTAGTTTGTTTCCATATCTTGGCTACTGTGAACAATGCTGCAATGAACATGGAAGTGCATATATCTCTTTGAGATACTTATTTTGTTCCCTTTGGATATAACTAGAAGTGGGATTGCTGGATCATAAGTTAGTTCTACTTTTAATATTTTGAGGAACCTCCATTTTGTTTTCCATAATGGCTGTGCCAATTTACATCCCATCAACAGTGTTTAATTGTTCCCTTTTCTCCATATCATTATCAACACTTACCTTTTGTCTTTTTTATCATGGCTGCTCTAACCAGTATGAGGAAATATCTCATACTTTGATTTGCATTTCTCTGATGATTAGTAACTGTTGAGCACCTCTTCATATACTTACTGGCCATTTGTATGTCTTCTTTTGAAAAAGGTCTAGTCATATCCTATGCCCACTTTTTAATCATGTTGTTTTGTTTTGCTATTGAGTTATATGAATTCCTTATATATTTTGAATATCAATCCCTTATCAGATACATGGTTTACAAGTATTTTTTCCCATTTATAGGTTGCCTTTTCACTCTGTTGTTTCTTTGTAGTGCAGAAGCTTTTTAGTTTGATGCGATCTTATTTGTCTATTTTTGCATTTGTTGCCTTTGCTTTTGGTGTCATATCTAAAATAAATCACTACCCAGACCAGTGTCAAGAAACTTTTTCTCTATCTTTTCTTCTAGTAGTTTTATGATTTCCTGTCTTATGTTTATATCTTTAATCCATTTGAGTTGATTTTTATATACTGTGTGAGGTAAGGGTTCGGGTTCAATTTTATTGATCTATACATGGATATTCAGTTTCCCCAACACATTTAATGAAGAGATTATCCTTCCCCGTTGTATATTCTTGGTACTCCTGTTGAATATCAGTTGATTATAAATATGTGGTTTTACTTCAAGACTGCTTTTGCTAGTTGGGGTCTTTTTGGTTCCATATGAATTTTAGAATTTTTTTTTCTATTTCTATAAAGAATCCATCTGAGATTTTGATGAGGATAGCACTGAATCTGTAGACTGCTTTGGGTATTATGGACATAATATTATTAATTCTTCCATCAACAATAAAAATAAATTAAAAATAATAATAACACCCAGCTGGTGTGGCTCCGTGGTTCAGTGTCGACCCATGCACCAGAGGTTGCCAGTTCAATTCCTGGTCAGGGTACATGCCCAGGTTGTGGGCCCAATCTCCAGTGAGGCGTATGCAGGAAGCAGCCAATCAATCTCTCATTGATGTTTCTATCTCTCTCTCCTCTCTTTCTCACTCTCTAAAATCAAGAAAAAAAAATTTTTTAAAGAAGTAATAATAATTAATAAATAAAAATAAAAATAAAAACATAGCCCTGGCCAGTTTTCCTCAGCAGATGAATATCGGCCTGCGGACCAGAGAGTCCCAGGTTCGGTTCCCACTAGGGGCACGTACCACAAAAAAAATAAAAAATAAAAATAAAAATATACATATTAATTCTTCCACTCCATAAATACAGATATCTTTCCATCGATGTGTGTCTTTTTTCTTCATCAATGTTTTATAATTTCCAATATACAAATCTTTTACCTCTTTGGTTAAGTTTATTCCTTAGTCCCAAGTATTTTATTCTTTCTGTTACAACAATAAATGGACTGTTTTTTTAAAATTTCCTTTTAGGATAGTTTGTTTTCATGTAGAAATGCCACTGGTTTTTGTATGTTGACTGTGTATCCACAGCTTTATTGAATTTGTTTCTTAGTTCCAGGAGATTTTGGTGAATCTTTTTTTTTTTTTTTTGAGAGAAAGAGGAAGGGAGAGGGGAGAGAGAAACATGGATGTGAAAGAACATCGACTGGCTGCCTCCAGCACGCCCCACACTAGGGACTCGGCCTACAACCTGGGCATGTGCCCAGACCAGGAATCGAACCAGTGACCCCCTTGTGCAAGGGTTGACGCTCAACCACCAAGCCACACTTGCCGGGCAGATTTCGTTGAATCTTTAGGGTTTCTACATATGTGATCATGTCATCTGCATCATAATATTTAAGTTCATTCCTAGTACTTAGTATAGTGCCTGACACAAAGGAGGCTCTAAGTTAAAATCAATGATTTTGAAGGGGGATAATTCTGCTATAGCAAGCTTTATATAAAGGGGCCTCCTTCTATTTTCATAGTTTGGAGGACAGATTAAAAGAACCTACCTGATTTATCAATGATGGCATCAATCTCTTCAATCACATCAAAATAGGCCTCATTGTTGGTGTATTTCACCCCAGTCCGTCGCCATGGCACCACTGACAACTGCCCAGTGGGAAGCTGGTCACCCACATTGGTACTTCCTGAGACAATGAATATCATGTAATTTAATTTCAATTTGATGATTGGATGTAACCAATTATCTAATAATCATAGAACACTTCCCTAGAAGTTCTATGCTCCCACTCTTCAAAGAACTTTAAAAAAAAAAAAACAAGAGTTTTCTCAACTTCTATATGAGTGATCTGTCTACTTGAAAAACTTGTCGCCACCTGGTCTGCCTTCCCAAGCAGAATAAAGGTTAAAAAAGTTACCTGAGAAACAGATATCATATTTTGGTTTTGAAAGTAACTTGAACTTGGTCTCTCAAATTCCACAATAGCTTGCAGCTTAAATAATGTATTGGCTTTTAGTAGAGATGGTAATCTATATATTGATATAAAATTTTCATGGGTAAAAACAGTATTCTAGTTTGAAGTAAGTTCTTAGGTACAGTTATGCTAGGTATCAAAATGTACACATCAACATAATCTCTCTCATACCAAGAGTTTAACTTAGGAAAAGAATATAAATTCGATCTTTCCCTGTCTATAAGTCAATCTCTTGACTTGTTTTACCCTCATAGGCATCAAAAATATTTTTTTTAATTCAAAAGTTCTATACTAAGATTATGAAATATTATAACTAATTCAAAATCTATTTCCTTCTTCTGTAACCTGGATTCTTTTTTTCATAACCTAGATCTTTTAATCTAAAGAAACATTAAACACACATACATTCAGTATATATACAAAACATCAGCTTTTCAAAAGTGGTTTTCAGATACATTTTTCTAGATTTAAGTGAGATTCTAGAATGAATTAATAATATTCATAAATGATTCAGGTACTAATAAAGCTTTTTAAGGTTTAAAATAAGCCCAAAATATTAAAAATCCCAAAATATGTGTTTTCTTAAAAAGATGCACTATATATTAAAACATGTCATCAAGCTATAATAATTAAATCAGCATGATGATAAAGCAGGAAAGATTTTTTAAAAAGACCAAGAATACATAATGACTTAGTATAAGATAAAAATATCATTTGAAAACTGGGGAAAAAGATAAATTATTCAATAAATGGTGCTAGGAAAGGTGACTGACAATTTGGAGAAATAAACATAGAGCCTTACATTTTATTGATTACCAAGACAATTTCCAAATGGATTAAAGAATTAAATCCAAATATAAAATCATAAAAGAATTAGAAAAAAGCCCTGGCTGGTTTGGCTCAGCGGTTGGAGCGTTGGCCTGTGGACCAGAGAATCCTGGGTTCAATTCCTGCTAGAGGCACATACCAAAAAAAAAAAAAAATTAAATCCAAATATAAAATCATAAAAGAATATAGTTTGTTGGTGTTTAGCTCTAATCTAGCTAGAACTTACTTCATGTGTAGAATGAGTAGAGGGGCTTCATTTTATTTCTATATCAAAGCTTGACTGTCCCAATGCAATATATTTAACAAATGGCCCCTGGCCCACTGATCTGATATATGACCACATCTATCTACACCAAATTTCTATAAATGCAAGGGTCTGTTTCTGGACTTTCTATTTTATCCCAGTCATCTACTTGCCTGTTACTGGGCCAATACTATATTTTTTTAAATTACCAAACTTCATGATATATCTTACATCTGATAGGATACACTTTCTCTCTTGTTCTTTTTAAAACACACAAACACATTTATTTATTTTTTAAAAAAAAAACTGTCTTGGTTTTTATATCTCTCTTAGTTTTTATAACTCATATGTATTCTATGAGTTTTTGTCTCATGTACCATATGAACTTAATATATCTTCATATTTGACAGGGAAAATCAAGCCAACCCCTTTGTAATTCTTTTTTAAAATTATGCTGACTATTTGTGCATATTTATTCCTTTTAAAATGTATTTTTCAATCAGCTTGTCGATTCCATGTAAACCCTGTTTATATGTTTAGCAAAACCCAAAATATAAAACCTTAGTGAAGGATGATTAATTTTACTAAATCAAACATTTTTAAATGTGCTAAGCAAACAATACTATATATAATGTCAAATGACAAGACAGATTGTGAGAAACTATTTGTAACAGAGTATTCAAAATATGTAGAGAACTCCCACAAAGGATCACGTATAGTTCCAAAATATATGGTAGTTTAATATCCTTAAATTCAAGGAATTATTTTAAATTAGAATAAAAAAAGAAAAGCATATCAACAAAAGGGGGGGAGGGGCAAAGGACACAAAAAAGTAACTCACAATAGAGGAAAAACAATCAATAAACATGCCCTGGCTGGTTTTGCTCAGCGGTTAGAGCGTTGGCCTGCGGTCCAGAGAGACCCGGGTTCGGTTCCCGCTAAGGCCACGTACCTCGGTTGCAGTTTGTCCCCAGCCCTGGTTGGTCGTGCGGGTGGCAGCCACTCGATGTTTCTCTCTCTCTCTCTCTTCCTCTCTCTCCCTCCCGCTCTATCTGAACCAAAAATGGAAAAATGTCCTCCGGTGAGGATAAAAAAAAAAACAAAAAAAAAAACAATCAATAAACACCTGAACAGGTTTTAACTTCCCTAGTAATAAAAAATTTGTGTGTAAATAACAAGGTACTACTAAATTATCAAATGTCCAAAGTTTTTTTTTTAAATGATACTACTACTACTACTACTAATAATAATAATAATAGGGTTTGCTAGAGTGCAGAGAAATTATAAATTGGTGTAACTTTTCTGGAGGGCAATTTGGCACAATGCATTCAAGTTCTTAAAATGGGCACACCGTTTGATCCAGCACTTTTATTTCTAGTACTGGAAAGAAATAATTCTAATATTTTTTTCTTTATTGATTTTAGAGAGAGAGGAAGGGAGAGGGAAATAGAACCTTTGATGAGAGAGAACATCAACTGGCCACCTACTGCATGCCCTACACTGGGAATTTGGCCCACAACCTGGGCATGTGCCCTGACCGACCAGGAATCGAACTGGTGACCTCTTGGTGCATGGGTCAACACTCAACCACTGAGCCACACCGGCTAGGCAAAAGAAATCATTTTAGATGTGCACAAAGATTTAAGTATGAGAATGCTAATTCCTTGTATTTAAAAGAACAAAAAAATCAGAAACATCATAAACATGGACTCAGTACATAATTTAGGGTCTATTCCATATGGTAAAAAATTGTAAAGTCTCTGAAAACAATGTAGAAGAATAGTTATCATAATGGGACAGTGTTCACAAAATACTGACAAAAGATAAGTTTTACAATATACACAAGAGTTGTTTTAAAAAATTCTATCCATCCATCCATAATTCATCTGTCTAAAAAAGAAAAAAATATATATACACTAGTATTATATTTTATCATTTCACTTTGGCTCAGCCGTTACAGCGTCAGCCGGTAGACCAGAGTTGTGGGTTCTATTTTGGTCAACGGACTAGCACAGTTGCAGTTCGGTCCCTGGCCCTGATTGGGGCCATGCAGGAGGCAGCCAATAGATGTGTGTGTGTGTGTGTGTGTGTGTGTGTGTGTGTGTCTCTCTCTCTCTCTCTCTCTCTCTCTCTCTCTCGCCCTGCCCGTTTGGCTCAACGGTTAGAGCATCTGCCTGCGGTACAGAGAGACCTGGGTTCGGTTCCCGCTAAGGGCACGTACCTTAGTTGTAGTTTGTCCCCGGCCCTGGTTGGGTCGTGAGGATGGCAACCACTCGATGTGTCCCTTTCACGTCGATGTTTCTCTCTCTCACTCCCTCCCACTCTATCTGAACAAAATATCGAAAAATGTCCTCGAGCGAGAATTAAAAAAAAAAAAGTGTCTCTCTCACATCAATGATTCTCTCCCCCACCCCAACTCCCTCCCTCCCTCCCTTCCTCCTACTCTCCTACTCTATCTGAAGATAAATGGAAGAATATCCCCAGGTGAGGATTAAAATAAAAGAATTTGCCCTGGTTGGTTTGGCTCAGCAGTTAGAACGATGCCCTGCAGATCAGAGAATCCCAGGTTCAGTTCCTGCTAAGGGCATGTACCTAGGTTGCAGTTTGTCCCCGGCCCTGGTTAGGGTTGTGTGGGTAGCAACCAGTTGATGTGTCTCTCTCACATCGATGTTTCTCTCGCTCTCTCTCTCTTCCCCCCTCTCTCCCTCCCATTCTATCTGAAGATAAATGCAAAAATGTCCTCGGGTGAGGATTAAAAAAAAAAAAAGAATTTTACATTCGTTGTGTTTTTCTGTATTTCCAACATTTCTACAATCGTGTTTTTTCTATAATCAAATATATATATATATATTTTTAATGAGAGTTTTATCTCTCTATTTTTTTTAAATATTTTTCTTTATTGATTTTAGAAAGAGAGATAGAAACATCGATGAGAGAGAACATCAATTGGCCGCCTCCTGCACGCCCCCCACTGGGGATCAGGCCCACAGCCTGGGCATTTGCTCTGACCAAGAATCGAACTGGCGACTTCTTGGTACATAGGTTGACGTTCAACCACTGAGCCATACCAGGCCCAGTGAAAAAAAAATTTTTTTAAAGAACAAAATTTAAGTATCTGAGATCACCAAAGATAAACACTCAAAATAATGCACACACCAGGCTAAGCCACACCCAGGATGGCAGCAGCAGCTTTCTGTGGGTTTCCCCTTTCTCCATACCTGTTATGGTGTTGACAACTGTTCGAAGGATAGTGGGAGGCTTTATCAGTTCTTTGAGGATGTTTGACTCGGTAGCTAATGGAAACCCATTATCAAGCATCTCTTCCAATACCTCATAAACCACAACCACATTGTCTTTGATCACTGGCTCTGAACAGACTCCAAAATAATCCTGATGAAAATACAATATATATATTTATCACTCAGAGACTGTAATAAGTGGAAGAATGTTCCTAGAGAATAAGGATCTAGTCCTACACATTTGTGTTTACTCAACATTTGGGATATTATTCTACAATGAGGGAATGAAGTATAACCATAGTACTCTTAGTTAAAAAGAACACTTGGCTGGCTTATATAGTACTTGTGTCATTATCAGCTTCTTTTATAAACTTGAAACTACAGATTTCCGGTCAAGATGGTGGAGTAGGTAAACGCGGTATCGTGTCCTCCCACAACCACATCAAAGTTACAACTAAACTACAGAACAACCATCAGTCAAAACCGCCTGTAATCAAACTAAATGGAAGTCCTACAACTATGGAATCAAAGCAGCAGCCACATCCAGACTGGTAGGAGGGGCAGAGGCGCGAGGAGGACACCTCGGCTGGGAAGGTCCTTCCTGAGGACTGAGGGGTCCCCATCCCTCTCAGGGTTCCAGTGCCAGGAAGAGAAATCCCCATAACTTCTGGCTGGAAAAACCAGTGGAAACTGAGGCTCAGGGAAGCTGAAGCGGCTGGAGCCCCAGGCAGCTCCTTAAAGGGCCCGCGCACAGACTTATTGGACTCTCTTCCTCTAAGCTTGGAGGGGAGGCAGCTCGAGGGGCACCAGAGACACACAGGGAAGAACTGAGCTGTTTGGCACTGGAGCGAGAGCAGGAGAGGGGGCTTTCTCTGGGACAAACGTGCTGTAAGAGGCCTTTGTTCCTTTGGTGAGCCCTTCCCTGGGGCGGCAGATAGCCGCCATATCTGGGACTCCAGCAACCTGGCTCACACTGGTAGCCCCGCCCTGCTGACTCCCTGAGGCCCCGCCCCGCCCCACCCAACTTTCAAGCCCACCCAAGCTGTTGCCACTTGCTTAACCATAGGATTGGCCTGTCTTGGATCCTGCTTCAGGTTTTTCCTAAATTCTTTCAAACGAGCAGCATCTGGTCTCAGCGAGCCCCGTACCTCTCATTAAGTAATACACTGAAATAAACACAGGGAGGCACCCAAAATGAGGAGACAAACAGATCCCAAATGAAAGAACAGAACAAAACCCCAATAAAAGAACTAAGTGAAATGGAGATAAGCAACCTAACAGATGCTGAGTTCAAAATACTGCTTATAAGGATGTTCAATGAACTTAGTGAGAACCTCAGTCAACTTAAGGAGGGCCTCAAGAGCATAAAAAAGGACCAGTTAGAAATCATGGATGCACAGTTAGAATTGAAGGAGTCATTAACTGAAATAAAGAATAATTTACACAGCTTCAATAATAGAGTATGTAAATCCAAGGAGCAAACCATCGATTTGGAATATAAGGAAGCAAAAAGTGCCCAATCAGAACAGCAAAAAGAAAAAAGAATCCAAAAAAATGAGGATAATGTAAGGAGCCTCTGGGACAACTTCAAGCGTGCCAACATTCGCATCTTGGGGGTGCCAGAAGGAGAAGAGCGAGAACAAGAAATCGAAAGCCTGTTTGAAACAATAATGGCAGAAAACTTTCCTAACTTGGTGAAGGAAACAGACATACAAGTCCAGGAAGCACAAAGAGTCCCAAACAAGATGAACCCCAAGAGGCCCACACCAAGACACATCATCATCAAAATGCAAAAGGTTCAAGACAAAGAGAGAATCTTAAAAGCAGCAAGAGAAAGGCAGCTAGTTACCTACAAGGGAGTTCCCATTAGGCTGTCAGCTGATTTCTCAAAAGGAACTTTGCAGGCCAGAAGGGAGGGACAAGAAATATTCAGAGTGATGAAAAGCAAGAACCTACAACCAAGATTACTCTATCCTGCAAAGCAGTCATTTAGAATTGATGGCCATATAAAAACTTTCCCAGACAAGAAAAAGTTAAAGGCGTTCATAACCACCAAACCGTTATTATATGAAATGATGGTCTTTTTGAAGAAAAAGATAAAAAATATGAACAAACAAAATGGCAATGAATACATATCTATCAACAATGGAATCTACAAACAAAATGAACAGGTAGAACAGAAACATTCTCATAGATACAGAGAACATTTTGTTGGTTGCCAGTTGGGAGGGGGGTTGGGGGAATGGGTGAAAAAAGTGAAGAGATTAAGAACTACAAATTCATTGCTAGACTGACAAACCTCAAAGGGAAAGGGGTTGGGGGGGTGGGAAGAAATAAACCAAAGAACTTATATGCATAACCAATGGACACAGACAATAGTGCGGGAAAAGGCGGGAGGGGGGTGGGAGGGGGGAGTAGGGGGTCAGTGGGGAAAAATGTGGAACATCTGTAATACATTTTACATCCAACAATAAAGATTAAAAAAAAAAACAAGAAACTACATAGAGGGTAAGTCATTTACCCTCTGTGGGTTAGTTTCTTCAACTAGCTAAAACATATAGAATACAAAACTGAATCTAAACTATTATATGTGCTTCTGAACAAGAATTTGAAAGAGCTCTGATAATATTTAATATGATCTAGATTGGACCTGAAAATCTTTTTAACCCTCGAGGTGTGCTGCTATTCCTTAATAAGAATTTAAAGGAAAACAAAATAAAATGAGGGGGATGAACTAGCACACCAGAAAATCACTTTGGATCATCACTACTCTCAGATGCTAGGAGTCTAAGAATTCTTTGTCCTTTTATTAACAAAGGCTAAACGTAGATACTAAATTATCTGGGTTGTGGAAAAAGCACTGGATTCCAAATCAGAGGATCTGGATTACAACCTTAATTGTCACTTACTAGCTTACTAGATTAAGTCATGCTAACTAATTTGGGTATTGAGTTCTTTAATAGTATAATCAGGATAATACCACTGTACACACAAGTGTTGTAAGAACTAAGCATGATTGATTAAATGACAATATATGCGAAAGTGCTTTGTAAACTATAAAGCACTATGTAAAATGCAATGCATGATGATGAAATGATTTAGAAAGAAATATCTGTGGTTATTTGGTGCGCCCTTCTAGCAAGGTCGGTCATGTCTTTTACTGGACCTCTGAGATGGGCGTACAAACCTCCTTGAATTCATCCAAGGAAGGGAAATGGGCCCCTTTTTGAGAAAGCCCATTTTATTCATGGACACCTCTGATTATTAGAAAGTTCTTTTGCTAAACTAAAATTTGCTTCCTAGATCTTCCTTACAGAATAAATTTATAGAACAGACCTACAGTTATTTGAAGACAACTACAGAATTTCACTTCATATTTTCTCAGGGCCAAACTCCCTGTTTGATCTTTCCACTGTTCATGCTATGGTATGGTTTCTAGATTGTTTCACCATCTTGCCATTTCTTTGAATATGCTCTGGTTTTCCAATATTCTCCTCTAATTATGATACCCAAAATTGACCGCAGACTCCAGAATTAATCTAAATTACAACAGATAATGTCAATTATTGAAGCCATTCCAATATCCAGGAGCACTTAGGAATATGTTTCTAAAACAAAAAGATTACTTCTTTAAAAAATGAGAATTTAAAAGGAAAAAAGTTACACATTTCCTTCCAAAGACTTAATTTATTTTTAAAAATAAATAAAACAGCCCTGGCCAGTTTGGCTCAGCAGTTAGGACATCAGCCCAAATTCAAGGGCACACACCTGGGTTGCAGGTTTGATCCCTGCCCCTGTTGGGGTCATGTGGGAAACAACTAATTGATGTCTCTCCCACCCCCCTTTCCACTCTATCAGGAAAAAAAAAAAAAAAAAAATCAATTGAAATTTGGGTGAGAATTAATAAACAAAATAAAATTTTAAAAAATAATAATAAAGCCCTGGCCAGTATGGCTCAGCAGTGAGAGCATCAGCCTACAGACCAAAGAGTCTAGGTTCGATTCCAGCCAAGGGCACGTACCTCGGTTGCGGTTTGTCCCCGACTGGGGTTGTGTGGGTGACAACCAATCAATGTGTCTCTCTCACATTGATGTCTCTCTCTCTCTCTCTCTCTCTCTCTCTCTCTCTCTCTCTCTCTCTCTGTCTTCCTCCTACTCTATCTGAAGATAAATGTAAAAATATCCTCGGGTGAGGATTAAAAATAATAATAATAACAAGTAAAATTAAAACACCTCACTAGATTGTATAAATCAGGCAGAATGTGAACTCAGCAGCTGGAAAGGAGACTTATAAGTATGACAAAGTGCTATAGCAAAAGTGCTTGCAATTCTATAGCTGAAACTCTTCCATTATACCCTAGTCCTAGAAATACAATACAGCTAGAGAGAGCACATATCAGATAAGACACCAAAATCAGGATGTATCCATTTTCTTTTAACAAAAGCTTCAAAAATGACAAGCTAAGAAGTCCCAAACTTCCAAACTAGCCACTTTACTGTTTTCTCAAATTCCTTTGTGGTTTCAACTAAACAACTTTTCTCGCTTCCTGTCTTATAGTTAGATAATATCACTATGGCAGTATGAAGCTGGTCAAGTTTCACCAACGGGGCTGTTAATCTTGGAATAGGATAAAGTATCATATGTGGAAATCATACCAGGACTCGGAGTGGTTTAAAGTCATAACGACTAGGTTCTCTCACTTATAGTTCCTCCACATACTAGGGTTTATAACCCTCAGGCTTTCACTGTGTGCAGGAACCAGTATGCCATGTGAGAACTAGAATCCCAGGATAATGCTACCAGAAAACTTCTGTGGGAAAAAATGTAAAATATAATTCTCTTGGAATGAAAGCTGTTCCAGACATGTGATATAGATATAAATCCAAATGAAAGGACTCTTTGACTTGTTTTTCAATTTTTATCCTAACATTTGGGTCCTCATTCTCTTTTTCTCCAGTTCTACAATTTCTGTATTCGTGTGACTAATTCCAGACTTCACATGACAGAGAAGTTGAACCAAAGGGTCTTTGCTTCTCATTTATCATTTAAGTTATGCAAATACTACATCAGTTAGAAAGAAGTTGAGCCAAGTTCTTAGGGAGAGGATTCCACTGTCTGAATCCAGAGTCCGGGCAGCCTAAAATCTTCCGCTATAAATGGTGCTGACATCATATATAACTTACCTCCCCTACACCCCACTGCCCAAGATCTTCAAATCTATTCCTGAAAGAAAAACTCAATATGAAAACTGTGTCTTATAAAATGTGTTACTTAAATTCTTTTGGGTACAAAAGATTTTCCAATCTTAAGTTTGCAACAAGAGCTCATCACTAGTACTCCTATGCTGTGGATAAATACCCCCAAACCAAGATGAAGTACAGGTTCACAAATTACCCCTGACAGGGAAAGTGAAAAAAGGATTACTTAGCTTTTTTACTTTAAAAATATATATACATCTTTACACACTCATCACTTTTTGATGCAACTCAAAGCAATGTAATTAACAATGGTTAGCATCAAGTCCACTATTAAAAACAAAAACAAAACTAAAGTCCTCTGATTTGTGAACAAAACATAAGACAATTCCAATCTCCAGAACTAAAATTACCATACACAATCATACCAAGTAGGGTGGCTTTCTCATGCAACAGGTTCAAAAGTATTCAATTTGTCATTCTAGATGCAGCAAATTCAATAAGTAGAATCAAGAATCTTATCAGATGGAAGAGGAAGTGAGCAATGTCCGAGTTTCCATTTGTTTTTTAAGTTCCTAAATTGAGGCTGAATACAATAGAAACAGAATACGAAAGATACTTTCTCATTTACATGTATGAACCTCCTCACATTCACGCACCTGAAATGTGTCTACTACCCGGTGAAGGAACTCAATGACAAATAGAGGTGGGACCTCCGTCTGGATCACAGCCACAAAAAAGATCTTGTGCCGGTATACACTCAAGAGATAGTGGTGAGGGGTAGGGATAACTGGTGGTACGTTTTCTGCCTCAGTAGCTCTCTCTTGTGCCTCAAAAAAGTAATCACAAACAGAACGGCTGACAACACTTTTCCAATGTTTCTCCAGGAAAATATCTCCGGAGGAGTTGATCAAGAAAAGGCTATGAATCATGATGGAGATTGTCAGTGAGACAGGAAAGTCTTTTTCAGTCTGAATGCCTCAGGATTCTACAAATTTTCAACCCTAAAAACAAAAGAAGTTATGATCAGTTCCATATAACCAAAACACCTTCCCCATTTTTTCCCTCAGTCCAAATCTTACCCATCTTTCAAGACTAGACTCAAGTCTTCATTTACTGCATGACCTTGAAGTATCCCTTCCTAGATTCCTAAGGATTATTATCAGCCATTTTGCTTGTCAATCAATCATATACTGCCCAATTATCCTTACTAGTGTCTGAATCATGTCCATTTAGAATTCAACTTAATTTTTGCATGTGTATTTTCTCAACTGGACTGGAAACTCCTTGAGAAAAAAGACCATGCTTCATGTTTGGGTTTTTTTTTTGTTTTTAAAAAATATTTTTTCTTTATTGATATTTAGAAAGAGTGGAAAGGAGAGGGAGAGAGAGAGAGAAACATCAAAGAGAGATCACCAACTGGCTGCCTCCTGTGCTTCATGTTTTCTCACTGCATATAAGAGGGCTTCAAAGAATATTAATGAGTTTCATGTATTTGAAGTACAGGTTCACAAATTACACATATAAGAAATGTTTACGGTTGTGCAGTCTCATATGGTAAGCGTTAGCTAAGTATGACCAGTGAGCACTTGAAATGTGGCTGGTTCAAATTGAAATGTTCTGTAAGTGGGAGATACCAGAATTTGAAGGCTTTGTATGAAAATGAGAATGAAGATATCTTACCAATAATTTAATACTGATACATTAAATTAATGTTAATTTAATTGTGGTTATATTTAATATTGATATTTTGGAAACATTTAGTTAAGTAATTCACATTAAAATTAATTTAACCTGTTTTTTATTTTTTTAATGTGGTTACTAGAAAGAAAAAATACATATATATATTTATATGGCTCACATTATATTTCTATTGGACAGTGCTGATCCATGAAAAGGAAAGCTGTCATTGTGGTCTCTATTCATTCAATCAATCACCATTCTTTAAGTATTTGTTATACACAAGGCTCTGGTTCGATGCCTTTATTACAAAATTCCTCTGGGGATACCTCTGGTCCCTGAGGCGACAGCATCTCTAGGTACCAGTTCCCAGGATGAGGTGGATGCACCGTACCCCAGCTGTGTCCATTCCTCAAACTGGCCCACGAGGTTATACTGCAAAGGCCTGTAGTACCAAGTGACCCATCGCGAGCTTAATCCCTCTGCCGGAGGACAAGACAGCAGGAGGAAGGAAAGCTGGGAATAGCTAGGATGTGGAGGAGAGACAGCTGCCAAAGAGGGTTAGTTTTGCGCTGGTCCCAGCCCAGACGACTGTGAACAACAGATGATGGACACCGTTTGAGACCAGGGTCAACAAGAGGGAGGATTTAAGGTGTGGGCACGTTCGAAAGCAAGGAAAGTCGCCAGTTAGCGCACTTGAGTTGCCATGCCAACAGCAGCCCCTCCTCCCTCAGCCACCGGCCCGGAGCGGGCCACCTCCGCAGCCCCGCACTCGTTCCCTTACCTCTCCCAGCCGCATCCCGCAGCGCGGAGGTTCAGTCTGATGGCATCCCGTGACCCTGCCCCTGCCCCTGCCCCGCTCACCCCGCGCGCGCGCGCCCGCCCCACCCTCCCGTGCGCCCTAGCCCCAACCCTGGTCGGCTGCGAGCACGCGCCGCCCCCTCCGCGGACCCAGGTCGCCAGACCTCCTCACCGGCCTTGCTCTTCGCATCACCCACCTTTCGGCTGCGCGGACAGACACCCGCCTCCCCACCCCCCCCGCGCGCGCACTAGTCACCGTACGCCCGCTGATTGGCCGGCTTGCGGGCCTCTAGCCAGAGACCGAGGTCTGAAAGCCGCGGATTGGGCGTCAGTGATCCGCTCCTCCTCTCTGATTGATCGCTGTTCGCGGTTCACCCTGTTCCTCGGCTCAAGCTCCCAATTGGCTCTTGTTGAGGTCTCGTTCATCTCCAATTGGTGCAATTCTGTGGCTCCAAACCCTGATTCGCTGTCGTGAACAGTCGGCTGGCCGCCAGTCACAAAGAGCCTGGCGAGCAGTCGCTGCCACCTGTGTAACCGCGGACTGTACCTCGAGGGTGTGTTTTCCAGGGCATGATTTATCGAATAGCGTATCATGGATAATAAATTGTGAGCACTAATAAATAGTCTCCATTAGAGAAGTGCGTTTAAAAAGAGACACGATTTAATTTATGTGCATTGGGTATGGTAAAGGTGATGTGCAGTATAGCCTCATCCAGAGCTCTGGACCTGGACACTGGAGGCTTCTTTCAGCCCCAACCAGACCACCACCTGCTTGACTTTGAGCAAGGTACTTAACCTTTCATCATCTCAGTTCCCAAAAGTGAAAATAGGGGTGGGAGTGAGGTGCTAGGCAGGTATCTCTTCAGATTGCGTTGATGACTTTGATACTACTATTTTAAGTGATTCAACTTATTATGGTCCAGAAAAGCATACAGGAGAAGTCACAAGACAAGGTTCGACTTCAGTTAAACGAAAAATTAGTCATGAGGTGTGGAAAGTGTTTACCTGGGTGCTTGGCACACTGTATGTTTTTAATTAAATGGTAGTGTGGTGATGGTGGTAATGATGTCTACCTAGACCACGAGCATGTCACCATGACTGCTTTACTTTTCACGCTGGTAAAATGGAGCATGAGTGGCAGCTGTTCCTTACACAGGACCGTGATGCCTGTTGAACAGGTGGTGAGGATTGTTCTTTGACATACTTGCTAAGGGCAGATTTTTTTTTTAATTGATTTTTTTTTTTTTAGAGAGAGATGGAGAGAAACATCCATATGAGAGAGAAACATCAAGTGACTCCTGCACACACCCTACTGGGGATCAAGCTTCTTACTACCTAAAAAACAGCACAAGTTGCAATTAAACATGGTTACTAAGCAATGTGTATCTAAGGTACAGAAATGCAGTCACTGCTGTGGGCATTTCTCATTCATTAAATTAACATTTACTGAGATCCTACCATGTATCAAGTCCCGTGCTGGGGATGCTGCAATGGCTAAAATCAGAGACATAGTCTCTGTTGTCACAGAGTCTAGCTAGGAAGACAAATGAGAAGCAAGTAACTACAAAACAGTGTGATGAGCAAGCAGCACATGTTGGAGATGCTGATAGAGGGGGCTGACCTAGAGTCAAGGAAGTCCTTGTAAACGGAAACCTAAAAGATGAATATGATTCAATTAGCGTGGAAAGACAGAGAGAAGAGTATATGTGGAAAGCTTAGGAGATGAGAGAGTGAACTATAGCTGAGTTAGAATGGGAAAAAGAGTGCAGACTTTTGTTTCTTTTCCTAAAATGAGATTAGGAAGACAAGTAGGAGCGAGGTGGCTGTGAGCTTTAGTAATTGTTAACAATTATAAAACACTATGGGCCATGCATGTCCATTCATTCCATAAATATTTAGTGAGTCCTAGTATGTACCAGAAGGGAGATCCAGAGCAACATGGGACTGGAGGACAAGTTATAGTTTTTTAAAAGGTAGTAAGAGTGAGTCTCATTGAGAAGAGACATTTGAGCAAAAACTTGGAGGAGATGGAGTTAGCTATGGGGTTATCTGGGGGGAAGAGCATTCCAGTAAAGGGAATAGGCAGTGCAAAAGCCTTAAGTCCACCACTTGCTTAGGGCATCCCAGAAATAGTAAGGATGGTAGTGTAGCTGGAATAGAATGAAGAGGGGGTAAAGTATGAGATGAAAGGGTTGAGAGCAGTGATGAGATTTCACAGGATCTTGACATCTATATTAAAGATTTTGGCTTGTAGTACTTTTGTTTTTATTTTACATATATATATTTGTGTGTGTGTGTGTGTGTGTGTGTGTGTGTGTGTGTGTGGTATATGCCCCTAGCGGGAACAAACCTGGGACTCTCTGGTCGCAGGTCGATGCTCAACCGCTGAGCCAAACAGGCCAGGGCAGCTTGTAGTACTTTTGAAATGGGTATCCAGTGGAGGGTTTGAACAAAGAAGTGACAGGATCTGATTTATCAATCTGCTGGGTTGAGAAGAGACTGTACATGGGCCAGGTGGAAGGAGACCAGTTAGAAGTACACTGCAATAATCTAGGTGAGAGACCTGGGGCCTGGACCAGGGTGTGGCCTGGGAGGTAGTGAGAAGGAGTCATGTTCTATATTCAGCCTGAAAGAGGAGCCAGTTGGATTTCCTGATAAGATGGGATGTGGGGAGTGAGAACAAGGAAGAGTGAAGGACCACTGAGCATGACCATCTAGTTACATCAACTAAGATGAAAAGGACTATGGATGGAGCAGGTTTGAAGGGGAAAAATCAGGAGTTCAGTTTTGGATATGTTAAGTTTAACATATCTGTAGTTCTATCAGCCATCCAAATGAAAATGTTGAGAAGGCAGCTGGATATATATGAGTCTCAGGAAAGAGGTCTAAGCTAAAGATATAAATTTGGGAATTATCAATAAGTGGATATTAAAAGCCATGAGACCAGCCGAAATTACTGAGGGAGTGAGCATGGAGAGAGAAGAGAACCAGCTCCCAGACGCTCCAAATTTAAGAATTCACAGAGGAGAGGAAGATCCAGATTCATTTAATGCACCTAACTACCCTAAAACAAATTATGATCCCTTTTTATAAATGAGAAAACTGCACTGAGTTGCTTAATTAACATGCCAAACGTCAAGTGAGTAGGTAAGTAGCGGAGCTGGAATTTAAGCACACAGGAAGACTGGAGCAGTCTGGCTCACAGTGCACACCTCCTGCCTCATAAGCCTGGGATCCCACTGAAGAAATTTTAAGTGGGAAAGTAAAGTGCTTTCGAATTTTACATTTTAAACAGACCATGCATGTGGGATGGATTGGAGAAGGCCAAGCTTGGCAGCAGGGATATCATTTAGACTACTGCAGTAATCCACATGAGAGATGCTAGTGGCTGCAACCAGGATCGGGGAATTGGAAAGAAGTAGACAAATTCCAGAGGTGTTTTGGAGGTAGAATAACAGGTACTTGGGATTAATTGAAAGTGAATGGTAAGGGAGAATGAGGAATCAAATGTTATTCACAGGTTTCTAACTTGGGTAACTGTGTGGATGGAACTGTCATGTGTAGAGACGGGGACCACTGGAAGAGAGGCACGGTGAGAGCAGGGAGAGATGGTATGAATTCAGGCATAGCAGTACGCAGGATCATGTACAAGTCAACACTCAAATGTTTGGTTGAGTTCAATCTAACAACATAGAATTGGGGAGCTTGTATAGTACATTCTCATGGACTTAAAAGAGGCCACAGGAAAGCATCGACAAATGGTAAGTTTATTTTATGTGTAAAACTCTCTAGGAAAGGATTTTCTAAAGCTGCACTTATAAACCATACTAATATGTAACAGCTCTCACTGCTAAGAACTTTTTCTACCATGAAAAGGCAATCCCAGCTATTAGGGTTCCCTGGGAATGATTATTTAAATTAATTTGGGGCGGGGAGGGTAGGTCTGAAACCAGAGAGGCCCTGCTCACTGAGAAAGTCATTTTATTTATTTATTTATTTATTTATTTATTTATTTATTTATTTATTTATTTTATCCTCACCCGAGGATATTTTTCCACTTTTTGTACAGATAGAGTGAGGGAGAGAGAGGAAGGGAGAGAGAGAGAGAAACATCGATGTGAAGGGACACATCGAGTGGCTGCCACCTGCACGACCAACCAGGGCCGGGGACAAAGTGCAATCGAAGTACGTGCCCTTAGCGGGAACCGAACCCGGGTCTCTCGGGACCGCGGGCCGATGCTCTAACCGCTGAGCCAAACTGGCCAGGGCGAGAAAGTCATTTTAAAGGGCTCTGCAGTAGGCCTCTGCACACCTCTCTGCTTGTACACTTCCTCCTCTGTTCATGCAGGCTACCCTAGTATCAAATCTCACTACTGGTCACATATTGAAGAAATGGAATGCCTCCCCTCCACATCTTTGCCCTCACTGATCCTTCTACTTGGCATACATTTGTCTCTTCCTAATTCTATTTGTGGAATTCTCTCCAGCCCTCAAGGCCTACCATATGTTTTCTCCTCCACAAAGTCTGTCCCAAGCTTCATACCCCCCCCCCCACTGGAAGTAATTTCTGC